AGCTTTCGTTTGAGCCTTGTCTCGTTGACCAACTCGGGTATAATAGTCTGTTGAACCATGACGATTCAGTATTTCGTGAGGTTAGCGCATAAAGATGAAAAATTGGCAACGCTGTACAGCCTAAACGAGGTTTCACTTCAAGTTGAAACTTTTCCTTGAAGTTAGCCTTACCATGAGCTTTCCTTTGAGCCCTGTCCCGTTGACCAACTTGGGTGTACTAGTCTACTTATGCACCGGACTAATAGTCCAATATCCTTGATTTTAGCACATGAAACTGGAAAATTGGCAACGCTGTACAGCCTAAACCAGGGGTCACTTCAAGTTTAAACTTTGCATGGAAGTTTGCCTTACCATAGGCTTTCATTTGAGCACTGTCCGGTTGACCAACTCGGGTATAAAAAAAGGGGCGAAAAAACACCACTTTTTGGCGAGGCTCTTTCTGAGAAAAAAAGGTCTTAAAATAGAAAGTCCATGAACTTCTTGCATCCTTGGTGGGAGGCATCAAGTCTCACTGCTAAAAAAATCTGTCTCCATCAAACATTGCAATGATTCAGCAGTGAGCAGTAACAACTATTGATGTTCATGTTTGTTTTCCTCTTTGTTAATTTGTTCTTTCTCGTTCACTCATTATTAATGTTAAGGAGTAATTGAAGAATTCAATGCATGAAATGTTCAAAAATAATTGTGTAAAGTAGCGGTCTACGCAAAGCACGGGTACACCGCTTGCTTAAGAATATCCTTTTACTCACAGAAATCATGCAAGTCATAATTTTTCAGGTGCTTCATGAAACCCCGTGGGAGAGTATTTTTTGTCCCATCTTGTTTAAAAACACACTCTTCCAAGGATGCATTGTAATTAAACTGAGATATAAAGTTATATCTCTAAATTAACTGAAGGTAAAATTGATGAAAACTTGAAGCAGTGAAGAAAAACCTTTCAAATAAACATAGATCCAGTTGCTGCCTACCTCAATATTTTATTCCATCTGCTCCTGACCCATTTTTTCTAACTGATTTCTCTTTATGTTTAGTATTAATAAGCCACTTCATTTTTTTGCAGTCGCTCCAAAACCCTGGGAAAAGCCCCATGAACAACTCGGACTGGTCGAAGGACAGGAAGGCAAAGTGGAAGTATTAGTCCAAGGTAATCCCAAGCCAACGTTCACTTGGAAAGTCGGAGAAGAGTCTTTCTACGAAGGATACCCGGACCCAGAGAACAAATATGTAGTCATGCGAAGTTACAACAAGGTATGTTGATTGCCTCTGCAGTATTATAGCCTTTTAAAATATTCTAATACTTAACGAAAGCGTTTTTGACAAATTCAATTTGTACAATACATATATTTATAGATGTTTCTCCACAAGAAGTGACATAAAACTGTTGCATTTGATACCGTAATTGAACTAGCACAACTTCTGACATTTCTTCTTATTTGTTGGAATATTACTTTTCTTTAGGGTATTTTTGTCCTAATAGATAAGGCAACATAAATTCATCGTCTATTACCATTTTCTTACCTGAATGGAAAAAATTAAAGACAGGAAATTTTTACGTAGGAATGTAATAAAAAATGTTCGCATTCAGCGGACCTTTGTATCAGTACTGTGTATGTATTCAAGACCATGTATGTAAATTAGTGCAGATAGTATGTGTTTCTTAAATGCAAATTCGGTTTTTCGTATCTTTCAGGGAGGTGATGTCTGGGCATCAGTACTGAAAATCAATAACTTGTCGAAAGAAGATATCAAAAAGACGTATTGGCTGAGAGCATCCAACGTACATGGAGAACGAGATTATGAAATTTACATTTCTACCAACACTGAGCCACGATGTAAGTTCATTATTTAGATTTCTGGAATAACAAAAGTAGACTCCAATCATTTTGGTTCTCTGTGCAGAGTAAAGCAAATTTTCGTTTAGGATCAGGTGGAATTGAAAACTTGGTCTGGAAAACTTTGAAAGTCAAGACATTCATCAGAGAAGTCAGATAATTTTGTGAGCAGCTTCTAGCAAAAGTCAGCGTAGTTAAAAAAAAATCTACATTAGTTCGAGGGTCTAGGAAAGTCTGGGAATCCAATAATTTAGAGTCAAAAAGAAGCAAAAATAGCCAGGACATTGATATATGAAGAAATTATGGAAACCCTGAATCTGGACGGCTATCATCTTTGTAATTTACAACCTGGGGTTGCTACTCATTTAAAGGTCCCTGGCTTAGTTTGGTATCAGTGGAGATTGCAATGGAGTATTTGCCTCGGAAAAATACATTAAAATTTTTTGCACTGTTTTGATTCTTTGGACAAAAATTCAAGCTGTGCTTTATCTATGTATTGCTATAGTCTCATGTTCATGAAATTTTCCTCCTTCAATTACGTACCATAAAAATTTGTTATCTTACAGAATAAATGTTTCTCTCAATCTCAACTGAACTCAGAATACCCAATGCTTTTTTACTCCCATGAAAATCAGAATTTTTCTTTTTTTTAAATTTTTTGCATGAGACTTTCTTGAAATTGTTGGTAAAATGGCAGAAATGCTAATTTCAGTTTGCGGCACTGCAGACTTTTTTTCATACTTTATGTTATATGTGGAAAAACACTTGGACATCTATTCTTAAGACCTTGGTTTATTTGTTCTCTAGATGAAGAATTTTCTGTAATAATTTCAAGCCATAATGTTGGTCCTGTCTTCTTTTCAAAAAATAAAGTACGAGAAAAGATTTTGAAGCACTGCAATTGAGATGAGCAGTGGCATGGTGTGAATGATCGATTATCAATATTTCCCCATCTGAAGCTATGATAAAGAATTGATCATTAAGGTGTTCGTTGCGAACACCCTGTTTTTCGATCTTTTTCCATAGGTTTGAATGGCAGGGCAATCAATAAATCCATGCCATACGCCATGCCATGCCACTAGAGATGAGGCTTTTTTCAGTTTCACAATCGAAATGAATTTCGGGCTCAGGCAGAGAGTGAAAAATTTGGAAGAATTTAAAACCTCTTCAATAAATCTGAGCTCTGATTTGTTTTTGCCGCAAGACAAATTACTACCCATTCCAAAATTTTCAGTTTTCTTCTCCTCATCCTCTTGAGTCTACTGAATTTTTCCCTCTAACCTCAACAACTGTTTAACTAGGGTTTTTTGCTTCTTTCTAGCTGCAGTTGGTGCTAAAACGATTATCTTCCTCTTCATCGCAATTATAATCTGCGCTGTTGTAGCGTTAGCTGTTTTTGCCCGAGCGAAAGGACTATGGTGTTTCGCTGGTGAGTTAAATTTTTTAAAATTACGTACCATCCTTACATTCTTTTGAAGCTCTTCTCCGACACAATTTGTGTCATGAACACTATTCTACCTGATCGTATTTTGAATAATTCTTAAATCAAGGTGAAATGTCCTAACTTTCATTCTGTCGCCGGTTGTTTCATTTTCAAATGATGACTGAAACTACCAGCTAAACATGTTGCATCTTACTGTATTTCAGCTTCGAGTCTTTGAAAATTCATTAAACCTTCTTTCTTAAAGACTGAATTCAGGATTGCTGTTTGGCTCCGCAAAGCAGTGATGGGAAAACTGAATTTTAGTAGTCAAGGAGACAGAGGAGTTGACTGTTTTAATGAATTGGAAACGTTTATTAATGCAAAATTTTTGGTTGGACAAAAAAGGAGGTGGGGGATTTCTTGACTTACAACTGTCAATTACTTCATCTCGCTCTAAAAGAAATGAAGCTGCAGCAGAACACCTTGTCTTCTCTATTACCAGTAGTCATGTCACCGTAGTCCGATGAGTAAAATTAACACCACTGCTTCACGCTTTTTAACTGGAGAAACACCTCTTCTCACACTAATTCTTAGTTATTCTGCAAGTAGGAACAGTGTATTCACTTTGCCATATCCCACTAACAATCACTTTAGGCATGCCACGTCACATTTTTGGTAAAGCGGTGGTAACGGGACATCTCAAAGCAGATGTGATCTACAGGAGCGATTAAAGAACCAACATACAAGGACATCTTTCGCTACTGTGCAACTAACTCCCGGCTGATTTTCTGAACTCCAAAAAGGCAACAAGTTGCAATCATTAAACACCTGAACCATGTTTCAAGAATTTAACAACAACCGATTCATGCAGACATTACTATCCGTTGACAGTTGTTAACTTACAGAAATCGTCCCGATGGACGAGAAATGTCTTGTTTAAGATGTCTAACGACTTAGAAAAGTGGGAAAGTCAAGGAAATGGAAAAGCTAAGGGTCAGAGAAGTGAAAAGTGAAATCTGAAAAGTGAGAGAGAAAGTAAAAAAAATTTTGCTGGATAACCGGAACATAATTACAACTTTCAGGGAGTGAAGTAATATTCATAAGAAGGTTTAAGTCACTCAGAGAGTTGAGTTTATGTTCATTGGAGTAATAAAGAAAATATATAAGAAATTGAAGAATAACAATCAGAAGATGTTTAAAACAAGAGTATTTGAAAAACTGATCAGAGCCCAATGAATGAAAAACTGACTGAATTTTCAGGTCAGCTATTTTTGGAGGTACGAAAGTAAAGTAACACCGAATGGCATGACTTAACAGTAGGGCTGAAAATAAAAAATGAAGAAAGGAACCTTTTATCAATTTTCAAATTCTGCCCAAGAAACAATACTACTAATGTGTGATTCAAAAAATCTCATAAATAAGTAGAGAAAATGTTTTTTCTGACATTCTGCAAGAGCAAATGATCGGCATAAGTTGCCTGTGCAATAATTGCAGTAGTATTTTATGAAATGTTAATACATATTTCTTGAAAAGGCAATTAAGTTATCAGTCTCATAGCTTAGAGAGCATTCGAGTTGCTGAGTCTTGTCCCCAAAAAAGTCTTTTTGACTGTGTTGTTCCCAAGAAGGCTTTTGAGGGTTTCGTACCTCAATGTTAATCTTAAAATAGCCGTGGAATGTATACATTGAATGTTGTCTTGAAACTACTAACAGAAGCAGATTCAAGGGATCGTTAAGGTTGTGAAGGATATCTTCAGTTTTTATAGTTTAACTTAGGGAAGCCACATTTTTTAGGATGACAGTTGCGGAGCAAAGCATGCTTACTCCACTGAGCACTAAACAGTCTATCATTAAGTCGTTTTATGCCTCATTCTTGATTAGAAAAAGAGTGAAGAGCAATGATAGCTGAAAAATTGACTTTTAGTATCTTGTAGTCTCTATTCTATAATTTAATTCATTTCTCTCATGAGATGCACAGTTTACCATAGGTCTTTTTTCACTCTAAAAATTGAATGAATGATGAAAGATGAAAAGTTCAAAATTTCTAACTTTTGAGTGTTCAAGCCTAAAAATGAAATAGGTGAGAACTTCTCTTAAATGCTCAAGAAGTTAAGTGAACAATATGAACAGTGGTACGAAAGTCACTCGTAGTCTGTTTTTGGAGGATCATTCGTAGCAGTTTCAATGCATTCTATGCTCTGCACGGTGTCTGCAGGACTAGATAAAGTGAGGACTGAAAAAGCATGGAAAATGTATGAATAATCTACTAGAATTTTTGTCATACCCGCCAACAAGAGCGGTCAGCCTAAAACTTATGCAATAGGCAATTCTGGGGATTACAGTTACGGGAGCGCATTCTGCCAGGGTAGTTGTGAAAATACTTCGTAAAGTACTTCCGATGTTAGATGTGATAAAGCACTTTACTTTGTTGTGAGAGGTAGCACTAAAACTCTTTGGTTGTTGGGCAAAAATACTCAAAAAGTAAAGTTTTAGAATTTGAATTTTTTATTGAAAGCTTCTAGTAGACACTCCGGCTTGGTGACTGTCATCTTCTTCGTCACAGTCATCATCAAAGATATGTTTCGCAAGGCTATCCTACCTGTCTAAAAATCTGAACCTGTTGCATAGCTGTCCAGTGTCCGTTTCACTATGTCTGAAATGTGTGTGAAACGTCCGAATAACTATGTTGTCATAGATATTAAGGTTATCTGTTAAATTTAGTGTACTTAGTCTCTGATGCACGGTACAAATCGCATGCCTCACGAAAGCATGGCAATCTTCTCTCTGTCCGCAAAACTTATCGGAATCTCATGACGGCTGGAATCAGTCAATTTTGGTGTTAGCAAATGATAATGAAATCTTGTTGTCTGTACTTAGCTTCATTCTTCCATCAGATATTTAGCTCTGTTTGCAAATTAGACTGTTTTCGAAGTGACTAAGAAGGAAATGGACCTATTTATGCTAAAAGGACCTATGTTGTATGCAAATCTCTCCGCACATATAATTCCCTTTAGCATAAATACATTCAAATGTCAGTGTCAGAATCGGAGCAATTTTTCTGTCTAATGAGGAATTTACCTAAGTGATTTTCCTTCAAGTCTGTCAACAGGCTGAAAATTTCATTGCCTCACAAGAACTGAATCAAAATATCGCTTTAATGGTTACTTTAATTCCAAAAATGTCACTTACATAGATAATACTGCATACAAAAAGTTAGAAAATCAGCTTCTAAACCATACGCAAAATTTTATATTCTATGTAACATGCTCAAGAGCAAATGTCATTTGTGTATTTCTTTTGAGTGTACAGTGCAGTCATTGTGATTCAGTCCAGGAGTTGATTTTCAAACTTGCTGTTGCGTACATTGTTTGCCACAGAAAAATTTTGTAAGGTAACACGAAAACAATTGTGCCAGTCTGAGCAAAGGGACCCTGAGAGCTGAAAAATTCAAAATTGAGGTGCAGGCACCAATATGTAGAGGCTGTCTGACCAGTGTTCGAAACTCACGTTTGAGTCTCAGCAGCCATGTGGCGCAACGAGCTCCATTTTTAGGGGCCATTGAAGATTTTTTAGGGGCCGCATCGACTCTTTGCCTATATATCACAGTGCATTTAGTGAAAAGTTTGACGCAAGATGTTTCAGTTACAGAACCAGTAACTGTAACTTGGGAGAAATTTCGGAAAAGCACCAAACAGAAAAACAAGGATTTTTTTTTTTGGGGGGGGGGGAATTTTTAGGGGCCACTTTGGTACAGAGCCCTCATTTTTTAGGCGCCATGACCTATTTCTTTGGCGCGTTGGCGCCTGTGAGTTTCGAACACTGTGTCTAACTTACACTAATGTGCACAAAATGCTCAAAAAGTCAGTCTAGATACTTGACACCTGGAAGTTTCCAGCTGAAAATTCAAGTTGTGAGAAATAAGAAATTTAAGTGTACCCATACCATGTCGTAGGCTAGAAATTGTCAGCTTTAAATGCCCCATCACGCCATTTCTTGGCAAATCAGCTAAACCTCTCGCAGTTTACTTTTTAGGTGCGCTTTTGATTACATTTTAAGGATCTTGGCTTAAATATTTGGCTCTGTGTCCCGAGGTCTCTTTTCTCACAGATGGTCATTAATGGTATGAGTATTGGCACAAAACTGTCATTTTATTGTGATTCTGTAACTGACCTTAATCACTCCAAAACAGCCTTCTCTGCCTCAGTGCCTTATTTATTTCATGTGTCAAAAGGAGATGTCTCTTCCATATTGAGTGTTGTCCAACTGTAAACCAAAAAACAGAAAATAAAAAACCGAATTACTGCGGGTGGAAACTTCCTTCCCCTATCTATTTTTCTATCAAAATTTTGAATAAGTAGACTCGATCAATTCTCAGAAGATTCTGCTTTAATTCCAATCAGAGATTCAATTCAGTCGTAATTTGAATCCAGTGGTTGTTAACCTCTCTCATTGATGGAATGCTCAAGATCTAGAGTTTAATCAATTCGTATGAGAGGGACAATGTTGTTTGTTATCATTTTCCAACAATTGAATGTATATTAAAAGATGATTCACTCTATAAAATTTTGGTATTGGAATCTTTTAGCATTCAAAAATTGTATGCGGTAGTGTAAATTGTAATCTCTCTTCATGTCACCGTTTTAGTTCATGTAAAGTCTTCACGAATCTCTGTAAATTGCAAATTTATTTTTGTCCAAAGAAAAAAAGAAAAAAGAAACAGTAATATTGAAAAGAAGTTAAATGACTTTGATCCTTTGACATTTCTCTTGAGCTTCAAAGGGCGGCTCTGCAGCTGTAAAGTATCAGGCAATCTCCTTTTTTATTCGTCGAGTATGAATATACTCTGTAAGTATATTATCGTGAAGGCATTTGCCCCGGTCAAATATAAACTTCTCCACTCGTTGAGGTCTGTCCTCACGACGTGTGTCGTTTCAACAGATTTGATGATCAAATAACAATTTTCAAACTGATTTATTTGATTTTAACATGAACTGAATTGTTAAAGCTGGATTTTATTATGTCCATTAGCTTATGTATTGGCATCAGGAGATGAATTTTGAAGGTGCCACAAAATCAGCAAACAGATGTGGTTTCTGTGTGTCGAAGGTAAATTTTGAATCATTCAAACGTGTTTTTCACCCTTTCGAAGTTTTAAACTCCCTTTTTTCTTTAAGTTTGTCTTGTTGCGGTCATGACTCATGGGTTTCTTCTGTGTTTTGTATTCAGTTTTATTACATCAACCAACCTTAGCAGCACACTTCGTAAAATAACTAAAAAATAAATGTAAAACTGCTATAAATTTGTCAGTTGTACATAAAAAAACATGTAAAGAAGTCGTAAACAGTCAGAATTCAAGAATTTTACGTAAAAAATTGTGATCAAAGAGATAAAGAGAGGTAATTCGTTTCTTACGTATTTTTCTTGTAAAAAATACTACGTAGTCATTTTGTTTTTGGTCTATTTTACTTCTTTTTTACAAGTTTCTTACAGTATTTTGTTTTGTAAATTTTACGTTATGTGACGCTAGGGAATCCCTATCCACCTAGTGAGGAGGCCACAGACTGTCGTAAAAATCAGCCCTCCCCCCTTCCTTTTTATCTTTTTTTGATTCATTCAGAACTGAATGAAAAGATTCTAGAATTTAAAAGGCTGTAAAAGCAGAAATTTTAAAAACATGGAAATTTAAAAATCACCCATTGGCTTCCTCCAATTTTTAGTGACTAATTATTGTCAAAATTATCTTTGCCTCAGAAAAAATTGGATAATACAGAGTTTTGGAAATTCCAGGTGAAGATGTACACTTGTTACATTGGGGAGCTGACAGTCAAATCGCTTAGATACGTTTTCTCTTTATCTGGTTTAAAAATATCTTTCTCAACCGAGCAGGTTCTAGAAAACCAGAGGAAAAACTCGAATTATTGATCTTATGATGGCCTCTTAATGCCAATGAATCAGTTCTTTATCCCTGATCAAGCATTTCAAAAAAATAACTCATCGGGTTATGTTTGCAACAAGTAAAACAATTAGTTAACACCCACCCCCCTCCCTTCGGTATTTTTCGATTTTCGCATTTTCTAACCCCATTTTAATATCATTTTCTCATCCCATTAGCTTTTTAAATGTGGTGCATTTTTGTATTTTTGTGAATCCGGCAGTTTGTGTTTTCTTTTTTCATTTAAGTTTTGTTGTTTTCGGTCCGTGCCCATTTCGTTTTATTTTTCACTCGAGCTTAGACCTGTAAAAGTATGAGAAGTTGCGTCCGGCCCACTCAAAAGTATTTAAAGTGTTTTGTTTCTCTTGCGAGCCTGCAGTAGTTAAGTCTTTTTCCTTTATTACTTTTTTAGTTTCATTATCCTGCAGTTAATATTTTTCATTAGTTAAGTTGAGTGTATCAGTTAGTCCGTATTTTAAAGTTACGTATTTGCGACTAAGCTTTACCTTTCTTGCATGGATTAAAAAGCTCAGTTTCATATTTTAATTTTTATTCTGTGTGTGGCTTTTTTATGGTCAGTATGCATTCACAGTTGAGTGGGTTTTTACTATTTAGCGTGTCAATTTGATTGACTTTTCTGTGGTTTATTGTTTTATTCTGGGGTTTGAAAACAAGAACAAGTTTCGGAAAATAGTTAAAATTAAAATTTACACTTTCGCTAATATTGCTTTTTCCTAATTAAACAACTCATTTCAAACATTATTTTACCTTTTTTATGCTAGAATAATATTTTTTTGATTCATCCTATTAACAAAACTTATAACGTTCACGAAGGAAAGGACGAAAAGATTCGAGAAGAGGCTCAAATCTACCTTTTTTTATGTCTAAAATATTTCTCCCGTTCTTTCTTCTCTCCCTCGTGCCTTAATCAGAGAAACTGATCGAATAAGTCCCCCAAGAAATCTTGATACCTTTTGTAAGAAGAACCTTTTGAAAAAAAAATGAATTTTTTCATTATAGTCTTATGAGGAAATCAATTCGCTATGACCTTACGTCTTAATCTGGAAGTGGTGATCAAAAAATCAGCTTATATCATTGTTCCCTGTTTTGAGGGTAAACTGGCTTGATTTTTTATGTGAATACGTAATGAGCATTCTGTGCTTAGAAATTGTGCTCTGAGACAGATGCAAAGTTGTAAATACAATTTTTCCCTTTGTTTCAATGTCTATTTTGGTTCCGCTTGAGTGTCTAATTGTATCACAAGCCTTCTTATAGATCGCTTGTTTTAAAATCTTGTGAAGAGGTGTTCTTTTTATGTTGTTTGACCATATCCGTTCCTGCTCATTCCGTCGCCAGATTTTATTTTGCAATCATGGTATCACTCGAGAAGCCTTGAAACCACACTTTCACTAGCCTCTGCTTTCATTGCAAGAGCGTCAACGAGTCTCATGCATGAAATCACTAATTGTACATTATCATCACTGAAGTATCAAAGTTTTTTGATGCAGGATGATCCAAAAGTCCGATACCAAGCATCACCCCTGTAACTTTTGAACATATTGAGATAAAGACTTTAAATTTTGTGAGTGCTCTTAAATCAAAGAAAACGATTTTTGAGAACCCCAAAAATTTTGACGGACCATCCTGAAAAGAGACTAGGTCCTTAGGGGTTACAGGGGTCGGGCAGAACTTTTAGATCACCCTGTATTCTCCTCAAGCTGCTTCCTACATCTGGGTCGCTGCATCCTAACAAAATATTGCAACATTTTTTGCTCATAAAACATGTCATAGCTTTGCTGGATATTCCTCTTAAAAGCGCATTTCCCTTGAGTTGAGAGTCAAAAAAGTTTTCTTAAAGAGAAAAACTCTGAATGAAAATTTTTCGAATCGACAATGTAACACATCAAGGGATGTAAAAATTATAAAATTTCTCTCCTTAATTCTGCCTGTTTTTCTGAGTACACTTTAGGTGGGAGTTTCTGCAGTGTAAGTAATTGATGCATGCATACGTGTGAGAATGAGTAGTAGTACATCTTTCATGCTGGTCTCTGTCCGCTACACCTGGACCAGAGTGTTCGTAGGTTTGATAAAAACTGGGTCATTTATGTCTGGAGTGTATTATTACCAGAGAGTTATTTTGAGTTTAACTACATCTTGTAGAGTCTTAAATCTAATGGAATTTAAGTACTTAAAAATAAACACAGAGTCTTCTTTTGATACTTGAAGCTTGCACTTGGACTGTGAAGACCTAATTTAACCGGACTTTGACGGAAATCCACCAAGTCCTATTTTGAAAGGAAAAAAAAGTCAAGAGTAGTTTTAAATTTCTGGCGAAAATTAGGTTTGAGAAAAAATATTTTGAAAGCGAGAATTGTCATCAGCAATTTTATCCTTAACATTGAGTCCCACGGGGTATCAAACTCAAACTTTTTTTTTCTTCATTCAAACTTGATGTGTTTTTGTTTTATTCGGTCCATTTAAAATTTAACTGTGCCTCAAATTGATCAAAGGTTGGCGGTTCCTTTTTTTAAAGAATTTTCCTCTAATTTTCCTCTACTGAAGTGTTGAGCTCTCATCATAATACGTAACATAACCCATAATTTTTCAATCATCTCTTTGTTCCTTTTTTTTTTTTTTTATTTTATCGGGGAAGAGAGTGGTTTTACGAACACACCATAGTCGTACAATAATCACAAGCATCTTGAGTACTCTTAGTTTTAATGTTTTTGCTTTCAAGTGCCATTAATCTGTAGAACAAAAGATGGGTTCTTTTCGTATCTGAATTAAATTTTAATAATTAATTTTAAAAAGAAATAAGTACTAAAAACACAGTGTTTAACACCACTACTCTCTCCCCTTTAAGAGCTCGTTAATTTCTGAGATAAAATCTTTCAGTCGTTTGTCATAGTGTTACTCTCTGGGGATTCGCACTTTATTTAGAGCTGCTATGTTTTTATTGCCAAGAATGGATAAAGCGGATAAGAATACCTCCCCACCCCAAATTTCATGTAATTTTATTGATTGATGTGTGTGGCTACAATTTAAAATATTCAAATTTTTGGAGAAACTTTGAAGGGCTAAATACCCTCTAAAAATTGGTCAAAAAGTGCCATAGAATTAAATAGATTTTTTTGCCTCCGCAGAATTAATCCCCAAGTTTCTTTGCCGTGCCAAGGAAAACGCTGTATAAAATACTGGAAGTTCTGAAAGACATCTCAGCCAATTTCATAAAAAAAAAAATTATTTGCGATTTTCCTTCATTTAATCCCTTTTACAAAGCTTTTTCGTGATCTACAAAGAATTTAACGAAAACGAAGTTTGCTAATTTAGTTAAAATTAACAATTCGAGTTGCATAGTCCTATATTTGTCTCCTCCAAATCTTAAAGTCAGATTTTCTACTATTCATTCAAATCCACAAGTCAATCCTAAAGCTCTTTTCTTTCTCTTTAAAATTTGACTTTTCCTCTGGAGTTTGAACCGCTCTCTTATACATTTCACATACCTCATCTCGTTTTGTCACATCAGAAGATAAGAGTGCATTCAAGCCTTCGATTTGTAATTTTTCATGAGATTCGATTGGTCCGTTGGAGTTTGCTCAGTGGTGTGTCTCTTGTTGCAGCACGTGACAATGCGGCAGGTACAGGCAGCGAAGCGCAATTCGATCCCAAGGACCAAGTGAACAATAAAGGCACCGACAACGTCAACCACCACGCCAGCACGGAACTCATCAACGGAAACCAAGACATTGTCAAGGAGAAGCTGAAGGAAGACACACCTGTTTAAGTTTTCACTGCCTTTGTTCGTCGAAGCCCCGCTTTGACGCTTATCTCAAATTAATGTGATTTGTAAACTGCGCTATACCTGATTCTCAATAGTGGCTGTTTCTTAAAATTGATTTCCTGATCCCTCCCTCAAATAGTGGAACTGTCTGACCCTAGTTTACACTCGGTAGCTTTTATCGATAATGCCCAGTTATGTGAAATTTTAATGAATGTTGACGTCGACCATAAGGGTACAACTCAAATTTTTCATCACTCCATTGATTGTATCTTCCGTTAGGCTGCAAATCTCTAAGATTTATGTAATCAAGGAAGGATCAATATTTCTTAGTGTGATGAACAAGACAGGTTTATCTATCCCAAGCGCAATTTTGAAAATAGAGATGCCACGAGAGTCCAGAATTCTTTTCTCTAAAAACTGCCTCTTATTTTTACTTGAGGGACCATGAAAGAAATTTTAAAGAAACTGCTACCAATGCAGCTGTATTAGACTAGGAAGCCAAACATTTTGTTCTCTCTAACATCAAATTTTTTCTTATTGTACCAGATTTCATAGGGTTTTGAAGAGTTCTTTATCCTGTTGAATTTGAAAGGTTTTCAGAAAGCCAATTCACCAAAATCAATTTTTTCCATCTCCTGATGGTACAGTTTTAGAGAGGATAAAGACACCGTCAGTAAAAACAAATGGCTATTTTTTAGTTTCATCAATGTGTCCATAGGACAATATTTTTAGAGTCAGGTCTTAGTGCCAGTATATTCTTGAAACATGGAAACCTTTTATCCTCCTCTCTGTTTATTTTCTTTCAAAGATTCATCATAAGATATGATACTCTGACTGTGAAGGCGATTACGCACTAAATTTTTAAATTTGTCAGACTGTTGTTCGTACCGAGCGCGGAAATCACATCAATTCTTAGAGAATTTTGAACAAAATTTGGTCTTGTTTTTTCTTTACACGCCAGTTAAAAAAATTGTATATTAACATCTGTCTATTTATTCATGTCTTTTTATTTAATCTTCGTTCGAGATGGAATCGGTAATTCTTATGTACATTTTTTTATTTTCCCTAAAAAGTATCGCTCTGTTTGAAGCTTGCCTTGAAGTCTGTTTGCTTGTTAGTTTTGTATTGATTGAAAAAGTTGATCTTGCTTCGAGACCAAGTTAAAATCTTTGGTCCTGATGCAAAATCAAAAAAAGCTTCTTGCCTTGTGCAATACGAGCGATAGAATGTTAAAATGGTCCTAAATTCTTGGGAACTAGTATTCTAAGCGGTATTCTGCCCTGCTATAGAAGAACGCCGCATGAGCCTTTCAATGTTGGCAAATTTCCTTTGACTAACTACGAATTTTCGGGAAAGTTTCTAAATATTTTTCCTCTCATTTTCAGAGAATTTTGTTTGCAATTTGATCAAAAAAGTCAGAGTTTTCAAGGAAAAGTATTCATAATTTGTTTCAAAAATACGTTTTTTTCCGGGAAAATCAGGCAACCCTTGATTGTTTAAACGACCTTCCTCCTTAGCACGGCAGTGTTACTATACTGGTTTTGTATCCTATCCTCTTATCTCCTCGATTTCATTTACCTTTATAAGGAAGGTATCATTTATACTGCCGCTACAAATAGCATTCAATACAAAAACTTGTTGAACTGAAGAGGATATTGGGGCACAGGGACCATTTTCACAATTTACGCTTAGCTATAACTAAACATTCCGTAATTGTTGTGAACAACATGATTCCAAACTGTAATGTTTTCTTATTCTCTCATTTTTAGCTTTAAGTTAGTTTACAGTTTTAAATTATTTAACATTTGACGTGTTTTAACTTTGCAAATTTTAAATGAATAAAGAATAAAATGAAAGTATTTATTTTTATCTTGTGACACTTCATTATTGTTTATGTATAGTTGTATATACAGTTTTAAGGTTCTCATGTCTTATTATAATTTTCTGACTATAATTTTAGGTTATTAATTATTATTTTCTTTTTTTTCAAGTTATCTGTAAAAATAGGGCAACAGTTTTTTCTTATTATTTATTAATTAATTAATTTATTCATTCAATTTTAATTTTTTCTTTAAGAACCATTTGCCTAGGACTAAAACTGTATTATTTTCTTAAATTTTAGTTAGATATCTAGTTTCTTTTATTATATAGAGAAGTGTAATTAAATTCATTTAGAAAGAAATACTCGGCCTTACCAGATTTAGCCTTTTATTTTTCGAGTTCCTTTTTAATTTTTTTTTCAATTCAAATTAAGCACAGCTCCTTTGCCTAGTACCTAAATAATTTTTACCAAATCAAATATAATGATTACCTTAGAGCGCACAACCTAATGCTGTAATATTGTAATTTGGTTTCATTCCGTCACTCATCCAGCACACAAGCAGTGATGTCTAAAATTACCTATCCCGGTTTAAAACTTGTCGATACATTCACCTTACTCAACTAGGTACTTGTTTTTCGCAAGTACGCCGTACAGCTCACTCGGTCCGAAAAACCTCAAGAACTTTGCCGTTTTTGATAAGTTTCATTTATTCAGGAATCTCACATTTTGTTCATGTGTGTAATATAATTCTGTATTAATGTACATAGTATGTAATATTTACCGAGTCGTAAAAATTGATAAGTGTCTAGGACTTTCAGTTGGACATCGTCAAGGAAACAGACTTATTCTGCATGCAGCGTTTAGAGAGAATACATTCTCACCGAAGGAAACTCTTGTTCAGTTGGACATCAGTTTGTAATAAGGAACTATCATGAATTTCTGGCTCATTCATAAAAACACTTATCTAAATACTGAAACTAACAATTCATTTATTTTTTTCTGTAATTGGTCAAGAAAAGTAGTTCTTTATTGCTAAATGCGGTCCACTCATCCTTTCTCTTCCCCTTTTTTTTCAAGAAGCCAGCGCAGATACGTCTTGTTTGCTTGACGTTGTCTGATTGCCCACCTCCTGAGCGCTGAGGGAACAGTTTCAAGATGAAATTGTACATACTGTTAATGTATCACCTGATCCACTGCTGTTTTAGTCTGAGAAAATCAGGTTCTATGTATTGCACTTTTCCTGTGTGTGTGTATGTGTGGTTATTTATTTCCAATTTTCATTTTCAGTATCTGCTAATTAACTTAGTCCCTCCCCCCCTCATTTTAAATTTAAGTGCTCCCTTGTTTATTTTACATTGTAAATATGTATCAGTGTACGTAATGTATTTAATTGTTCGTTTCAAAGGGCTCACCATGTTCCTGTCTCAAAATCTAAGATACTGATCCCCAAACATTGCCAGAATCTCAGTATTATTCCCTCGACTGCGCTTTCCCAGCCTGCAACTTTCACTGTGCATTCTAATGCTTCCTCTAAATATTTGGCGTTCATAATTGAAGATATTGGACCTCTTTTAATTTTATACATATTGATATTGACGCCTATTCATCACCTGCACTGCGTAGGAACATATCAGCATTGAACTATCTGTGATGTCCGCACCATTTTATATGTTTGTGGGATGGTCATTACCCAATACTTTTCCGTAAATCTGAAAAAAAAATTCCATAAGCTCTGCGCTATACTGTGGTGCCATGAATAAACGCTGTGTGAGCCTTTCAGCATTGCCATATTCCCCTTGATGAAAAATGAATTTCCTGAGAAACTTTTGAATGTTTTTCTTACAATTTGTCAAACAACTTTGTTCATAATTTTATCTGAAATATCTGAAAATTTCAAGGAAAAATACATTAAACTTTCCTCAAAAATTAATATTTTGTGATAGGAAATTTGGTAACATTAAAATGCTCATACCGCGTTCCTCTTCAGCTTGGCAGTACAAATATAAAGTTTTTCGGAAATTTTGTGCTTTCGCAGTGTTGTTATGATCCTCCTCTGTGCTGGGGATGAATGACTAAGTGTGGCTGATTTCAACTATGAGAATTGAAAGATTTTTCCCAAAGGAACATCGGTTCTTCTCTTTCTCAGCTTGTTACCTCTGGCTTAGACTATAAAAACACCGATTATGGTTGAGGTCCAAAATTCTTCGCTTAATTTTCTCGTAAGAATTACTGTTTAATGCACTTTGAGCTTTGCTTGATGTTACTCCAAGAAATATGCCTCATATGTATAGCTTCCAACCTTACATGTTACTTAAGTCAATAGTTATGAACTAACTGCAGCTAGTGTATATTATCGAACCCCTCTTGACCTTAGAGAGGTGAAATAATTAAGGAAGACCTTTGCCCTTTCAGTCTAGTAGCGTAGAGTCACCTATTCAGAAAGCCTCAACGATCCTTCCCTCTTTTTTCAATATCTTTTCACGGATGACGTTTTCCAAACTTATTTCTCAGTGTTGGGTACTTAAATTATTTACATCAAGCAGAAGTGTATTCAAAATTAGTTTTGAGCTTGCGTGTTATTTGTGACCAGTGTGGTGTCTGAAAAAAAAGTTTTTGCAGGTAAAATTTTGACTTATGGCCCTATTTCAAAAATAACTCGATTGTCTCAAAACCAACAAAAATTGATTTTCCTTAAAAATTTGAACCTACATAGAAGCTGAGATAATGCTTCATTTTTTCTCATCAGTTAGGCAGTTGCTGTTATTTGTCTTGTTTACTAAAGTGAATTTAATTGTGATTATCTCCACAGCAAAACTGTCAATCTTCGCTAAGACATTACACTAAAACAAGGAGCACGCATTCAAAATTTGTTGAAAAACTTAAAGGTCATCTTAAATGGTAGCATTTAGTGGTCCAATTTTCATTATATTTTCTGGTCTTAATTTCCGGGTCACCATTTCTACTAAGTCTGTTTCCAGGTTAGGGAGGTTGATAGACAGAAAATCAAGGAATCATATTTACGGTTACCTTATCCAATCATGTAGTAAAACTTTTGTCGCGCATTTTATGCATTAAACTTTCAGAATGTTGCCCTTATCATAGTCGCTATCACAACCTAGTGTTCATTTTCCTGCAAATGGAATATTTTAATGAAAAATTGATGCTGAACTCAGGTTAATATTTCTGATCTATTTATTTTTTTAAAATCCTTTTAATCGTCATAACGTGACATTTTTTAATGCACCTTTGCATAATTTAATTTTTTATATCTTCATTTTATTCCGATCACGTTTGCATAATCATTTTACCCTCCTGCACCAAGAAATTTTTTCAAATATTAAGGCTCCTTGATCATGTACCTCTCCTTTTACTTGTTCCAATAATTAATCATTGACTTTTTTCCTCTATTTTTTAAGCTATTTCATTTTCTTTTGTTCAGTTCAATATTTATTCTATATATTTTCTTGTCGTAGCCCTCCCCGTAGACTCGTTTATTGAACAAACTACCACATTTTTACGAGCCGTTTTGCTCCTTTGTATCTTAGCAGGGTCAGATTCGCCTTTGACAGCAAAGAAGTTAGTTTAGTTTTGCATTTTAAAAATGTTCTTTTTAGATTTTAGTTTGTGTAAAAAGAAATCTAAAGTATTATTTCATTTTAAGGTTTAGTCATTACAATTTTACGTTTTATGTTGACGGATAATTATTAATTGTAATAGTCGAAGGATTATAATTAATAATTGATCTCATTATGGTTAGGCAAAGCGCTACAGTGATGCTAGGATCGGCGTAAACTAAAATTCATCATTTGCTCACTCAGAATTTTCCTGGAAAGGAATTCAACTAAGATACCATGCCCTTTTTTTTAAAATCACTTCTCACAGGTTAGATAAAATTTAGCCAAAACCCTACTACTAAATTGAAAACCTGGTACCTCCTGAAACTCCTTGCTTACAATTCTTTACATCCAAATTGATTCCTCAAAGATAAAATCTGATATTTTTGGCTTCCAATTGAAGAATTGGATTTTTTTTCTTCTACGATTCACGCCGACAGAATAATAAGTTGTTACAGCCTGTACTAAAGCATTGAGGAATGACCAGAACTCATTAATTAAACTGCAGCTCGTTGAAGTCTCATAGTATTATCCATTGCACATTCATTATATTTTGAAATCTTTTTTCTTCAATGCTAAATTCCGCCAACTATCCGAAAATAGTGCTGTCGACCGCAATTTGACCTTGTATTTTATAGTACAAACTTACCTCTGATAAAATGGCTTGTTTATTTACATTAAGTTTACAAATGGCGGTATATGACACGCACACCCATGCATGTTAGTAAAATTCAGTTTTGTGATGCGTTTCTACGTTCAATGTAGAAAAGGCACTCTCTTCAGGTGAAACTGACGCAACTGCATTCTGTATCAACTAATTTTTTTCTTTTTAAAAAATAAAAAAAAAAAAAAATTTCGACTTTTTGCTCTTATCCCAAGGCATTTCTTTTCAAAAGTGTGAAATTTTTGTTGGAAATTTCTGTAAAAAATCATGCTCATAGCTTAAAAACCAAGATTTTCAACATTTTAAAGTGTTGCGCTGTCTTTATCTTATTTGAATTTAGAAATGCAGTTGTTTATTCTGATGTCTATGCTTGTTAAAATATGCTTTCGTTCCCACGTCTTTGCAGAGGGTAATCAGTTCACTCACCAGAAACTTGAATGCTTATAACTTGTCTGAATAATGATACTTCTCTTTGAACAGCCCCGCGTAAACGGCACATGTCAATGTCCCAGTTTCTATTTAAACGCTAGCAAAATAACATGAGTCACTCTCATTTTTAAATTTGTAGAATTTATAGTTGACCGTTCATGAATACCTCTGAAAAGCGAGCTAAATTTGGTTTGATTTTCCCTGAAAATTCTACAACCTATATTACTCCTGGATGTATTATCATGTTAGCGAAACTTTTTATTCACATTAACGTTTGTAAATTGGTGTATGATTGTTAGCATAAGGTCAACCTGTTCTGTAATTTTGGTTTTTTTTTAAAAAAAAATAAAGAAAAAAACAATATGTATTTGTTCAACATAGAAACCAATTTAAACAATTTGACTAAGGGACTTATGGTTTTCAAACCATCAGCTCATAAAATGTATTTTAATCCAAGCGGTGTTTCATAAAAGAAAAAGATGAATAAACCTACAAATTTTTTAATTTTTCTATTTTTTCTGCTGGTTAGAAACAAACCTTTTTGTGTCCTTAAATTCACTGCATTCTCTGGTTGAAAAAGACTGAAGTTTGTACAAAAAGAGGATGTCAGTTTAGCATGAATAGATAAATATTGCATTAGTGTTGCCTGTTGTTTTTATTATAGCTAGCTATTGTCGTTTCTGAAACTAAATTAATCGTTAAGTGTATTTAGTCGTAAAAAAATAACGTTTGCTCTTCACTTCGTCAGCTTCAGTCGGCTTTTGTGTAACTTGAATGAACTTTGGTTCGGTAATCGTATCACTTATTTCCCTCTTTCGGCATCTATTTGATTCAAATCGTCGTCTAAAAACAAACTCTTTTGCAATACCGTCTGAGTGTACGATGGAATATCAGTTCATTTGCATTTTCTATCTTAATTATTTTATCTCTTTAAGTTTTGTAATAATGTTCTTATACTCTTATTTATTTTTGAATAAAATTGTTTTCTTCACGGAATCAGTGACTTATTTTTGTGCTTCTCCAGTCAATCCTGCTAAGTTTCTAGTCCTGGTTAAACCAAAAAAGACACAGTAAATGAAGTCATTGAGGGCGTAAAAAGTGATTTGATAGAAAATTTAGTCTATAAATAGGGTAAAAAATCAGTACTCAATCTGAAAACCTTGCTTTGTCTCAAAACCTTGGTCTCCATTTTATTTTTTCGAAAGTTATCCAGCTAAATTCGCTGCTTAGAATTTTCTCAGACGATTCTTCAAAGCAGGAAACAAATTCACGAAATGTGAAGCTCCAAATTCCTGTATGGAGAGGAAACCCTTTTGATTGATTTTGAAGTGAAAATTAGGCAGAATATACATCAACTTGAAGGAAATTTTGCATCAATTTTTTTAACTCTTTGAAAATTATCTTTATTGATGTGTGAAACACAATTATCTGTTCTGAAATAATAAAACATTAATCTAAATGATCTGTTGAAGATCAATGAAAATGATCCCATATGTAATTTATCAGTCGAGTCAAAATCTAAAGGGTTTTCTGCAGAACACAGCCTAGGTATCATTGCCTAAGCCATGATTTCAGGTAATTTGCAAAATAAAAGAGAACAAATTGAACTATCTTTGCTGTCGGGTACTTTTTAATCTGTTTTAATCAGGCTCATTTTGAAATGCGTGCGGATAAGAAATGAATTATAGTCTTATTTTTTCATGCTTTCAAAGTATGATTCATGTGTGTGCATCGTTAGGAATCGAGTAGAGGAAAGAAAGTACCCAAATTTAGCCCCTCTTTCCGTTTAGTGGGTGGAAAGAACAAGGCTTCTCGCATCTTAGGCAGAAGAGAACCGTTCTTACTTTCATTTGATTAAAATGAAAGTACCTTTCACTGAATTCCTTAAGTTACAATTCGTTCTCTTTTGCATGGAGGAATGTATCTAAATTGCACTGCTTCAGTATTTCAGACTAAAGGTTTATTTTTCATAGAAGATCCGTCTTATGAAATTACTAATGATGATCTCCTTCACACTTGTGAGGATAGACTCAGCATTTTTCAGACCTCTTCATGAGATGATTCTCCCTTGAAAAAATATAATGCTCTCAGAAACCCTGAAACAGCCAGATTAGATATGTTCCTTTGTGTCGGAGACAACTAATTAAGGACCTTGGTGCGAAAAGAGCACTTCTCAGTTTCCATGTTGCAAAGTTTCATTCTTTTTATATTTTTACATGTAACAGGGGGAAAAATTGATCGTACCTAGGTACTTGGGCAGATTGAACCAATTACTCTTCATGATTTAACAGTATCTCTGAGACAAATTTCAAGTTTAATTATCCCGTAGTTTCCTCTCAAAAAAATTAATTGTTGGTGAGAGAATTCTAAAACACTCTAACGAAGAAGTGCCCTTTTTGCTTTAATATCACAATTTGAATTTCATCATGAAGAGTGAAAATTCACTTTCTTTTGTTGCAGGAGACGCACTAATGTCTGGGATTCGTCAGATTGAATCGTAAGTCCAACTCAGTTGCTCAGATTTACCTTATTACGTATTACTGAAGACAATGGTGTCTAAGAGAGGGATTGATCGGGGAAAACTGAGATTCATTAGGGAATCTGTACCCAGAACCGAGAATCTCTTCTTAGATCGCTTCCCAAGTTGCAGTTTTCAACGGAAAAATCACGATATTTTGAAATTTAGTTTCGATTTTTTTAAGATTTTTTGGCGATAAAAGCTCTAGGGCCATCAGCATTCGAACGATTATCCTCGATTTTTTCGCAATTTTATCTCTATCGAATCTTTTTGTATTGATATTACAAGGAATCGCTGTCGAGAAAATCATGATTTTATTACAAGTTTATGCGATGAAATCACTATTTTTTATCCGATAATATTGCAGTAAATCGACATCGATAAATTCGTGTTACATTTTTCGATCAAATCGCAACTTATCGTGATCACTGCTACTTGGGTAAGAAACCATTTCCTTTTCAAAGTTGGTGGAAATTTTGAAGGACCTGTTGTTTTTAAGGTTTATGTTATCACACGTGAGCTGCAATTATTGAACATTTGAATAACATATTCAAGTATACAAAGCATCGAAATAACAGAAGCCTCCATTGATCAGATAATATAAACATACGGAGCATTTTTAGAATTAAAATTTTGAATGTGCGCCAAAAACTCAGGTGAAAAATGAAAAAAATTTGATAGTTTTCCGCAATGAAATCCTGGGGAAGTGGGAGGAAACTTTAGTATCTCATGAGGGAATGATCACTCGAAAATCAGTGGATGAGCCTGATCAAGAAATCTAGACACCATGCTTAAGACTGCTTTTCTTCGGATTTTAAACTACCAGAGGAAGTCCGTCAAACGTTTCATCTCTCCCAATTCGATAAGAAGTCACCTCTCTCCCTCCCATTTGAGAATGGTTTCGATTCACTGAGCTACTGAGGCCCCCGACCCTCTTTGACTGAACTCTTTGAGGTCATTGAAGTCTCAGACACTTGGATCAATAAGCATTCAATCATTAGTTAACCATTCCCTCTGACACACACTTATGAAGTATCGTTGTTCCTGTGACAGGGGACAAGAAAGGGGAGGAATCTCAATCGCCTTGTGAGCCCTGTTTCACATCTGAATCCATGCTTTCTGGGGCTCATGCAGAAATCGAGATACGTTCCTCTGTCAGAGGTGGAACAGCATTTGAGCTCAATGCACCATGCAATGAACGATTTCATGCATATTTTCAGTTTTGGTCAGACAGGAGTGATATTATTTTCATGTCTTCTATTTCAAGGTGAATTTGGAAAGAAAACCCAGCAGATTTTTAATGGGGGTCATGAATTATAGACACTGTCCGGGCAAAAAAAATTCCGCATACATAACTGCAATTTTTCAACTCAGAATTATTTTTATGCAATTATTTCTTCCAGCATTGAATACCATCGGTAAATAACTCTCTCTACATATCCTCCTTACATATCTGCTAATGTAGTTAATATTTTTATTTTTTCTTTATCCTTTTTTTACATTTGTAAGTGTATAAATTCTGAAGAGTGGACAAAATATACCTAAATATTCTTTAAATTTTCGTTCGGAATACGGATGTTTTTTTCCATAGTTCAGTAAAATCAACAAAGCTCGTAAGAACCCTGAATTTTCAGTCATCAATCCAGGTACAGAGCACAGCTGATTGTATTGAGACACTAAGCACGTTTTTTTGTAACTTCATTGTAAATAATGCTAATACCGAATGATAATGCAGAATCGTTTAAAGAAATCGATGAAAATGCTTTGTTTTTTACGAAGAAATGGTGCGAAAAATGTTTGGTTTTTCCAAAAAAAATGATTACTGCACATCGATGGTGAAACTGCAGAAATACGCATATCCGTTTCCGGCGTTGCAGACTTCCTGTGATCCTTAATTTTTTACATGAAAAACCAATAAACGTCATTACTTAAAAACTTTGGTGATTTTTCTTCTCTATGTGAAGAATGTTCTGTGAAAAATTTTCAAGGCGTGATGATAGTTCCTTTTAAAAAAGAAAATAGGACCAGAGATTTTGATACATGGTAACCAAGACGCATTTTTGCAGTTTCGCTATGGATATGTAAGTATCTTTGAGAATTTGCAAGAATAGAAAATACAGGGTTGCCACAGAATTTAGAAAATGAAATTCCCTGACATTTCCGTGACACATTTTGGTGAAATTCCCTGACTACTGAAGGTATGACGGATTGTTAAGAAGACATAATTGAAAATAGTTTTCAGGCAAAATTTGTTGTTCGAAACCTCAAACCCATTCTAGAAGGCAAATGAAGGTGATTTAATAAATTTTCCCTGTTATTTTCGTCATTTGCCCTGACATTTCTCGGTTTTCCTTGACTTTTCACAATTCCCTGACATTTCCCGGTTTTCCCCGACTGTGGCAACCCTAAAAACAGTCAGTGTCTTAGTGCTCGAATGATGTGCGATGTAGAAATAGAGAGGAAAAAAAGGACACTGGACGATGATAATTGAACTTGATAATTTATTCTTCTGAACAAAGACGCTAGCTACAATATAAAAATACTGTGAGAGTTTTCGATGCCAATATCGGTGTACAGCAACTACTATCTTTTCCGCCAGAAGTGATACCGAGAGTATGAACCATCGTCCTGGCGAAGATAAAGGCAAGAAGGACACGAAACCGAAAATTTCCGTCAAGGCGATTTTCAAGAAGAAATGGGACCAAAAGCCGCCCGAGGCCAGCAAGCCGAGCAGCAACGGCAACAGCAACAGCAAGAGTGATGGTGATAAAGAGGCACAAAAACCCGAGACAACGACGGTAACAGTCGTCTCAGAAGAGGCACCCAAGGAACAAAAGGTTAGATAATAGATAGTCAATAGTCTTGGAGTAGAAGAGGTATCGATACGACCTTGGTCTTGAGAGAGTTAAACTAATTCCATCTTCTACCCGCTCGAGTCAGGTATGTGCACGAATTCTGTGTCAGACTGAAACAAAAAAACAAAACTCAACAGGTATAATTTACAAGGAGATAGATTTAGGAGAAAGACATCTTGACCAAACCAAAATTACTGGGTTTTCGGCTGCTCATAATGAAAGAAACAAATATTGAGCTTTCAGCCGATTTTCTTTTGCATAATATGTAAACTCAGACCATGTTTAAAAAAATAGTGTGCATTGCGCTTTGCAATTTTTATGAATCCAAGCCTCCTCTTTCTCAATTGTTTTTTTTTAATACTATATTTTAATATGTACTACTGGAGAGGGTTCAAGCATTGTAGAGTTTTACAGAAATGGAAGTGAAGAACCTCAAAGGATTTAGGCTTTTTTCCTGTATCATTCAACAGAAAGCTGAAATTTACCAAAAGGGAACTCTCTCTATTTTCAGAAAGGAAATGATAACATTGTCTACGCAGAGTTGACCCTACCCGCCACCTCTTCACCAGTTGCACGACCTCGTGTTGTGGAGGATAAAACAGAGTACGCTGAAATCATCCATTCATGAGGCATTCATCAAGGACTTTTAAAATATTCTGCAAGTCGACTGATAGTAGTTTTTAAGTTTGTGAATAATGCATGCATGATTGAAGTGTATTTTAAGAAAATCTTGTCCTGAGTGTAAATATTCCCCACCTTTCTAGTTTCACCGAATTTTAAATATTGAACAAATTTACCGTTAGAAATTTGTACATGTTAAGATCCAAACGGAGATTTTTTCATAAACTTTGATTTTAATTATTTTAGTATTCTTTGCCTTAGTTTTTCTTTCAGCCATGTAGGGTACAAAACCTCTGTTGCTATAACCATGGAATGTTATCTGGGGTTGTCAATTTTTACAGCTAGGTATTATGCCTACATTGAATTAAAATTTCATAATTCGAATTCTACTCAAGTCTCTAGCCAGGTTTTTCAACATATGTATTTTTTGAGGATAATTAAGGTAAGTGTAATTTTAATACAGGATGGTAGGATAATGCTAGGACTTTCAGTTTCCATTTGTTATACCGAGATATGACTGTATTCTGCCCTACTAAGGAAGAACGCCGCATGGACCTTCAGGCATTGCCAAATTGCCTTTGATAAAACACAAATTTTCTGGTAAACTTATGACAATTTTTCTTCCAAATTTTCAGATAATTATGCTTGCAATTTTACCGAGAAGTCCTGAAAATTTCAATAGAAAATATGCATGTCTTTCCTAAAAAATGAACACTTTATCAAAGGAAATTTGGCAACTCTCAGATGTTCATATGGCGTTCTTCCTTAGCACAGCAGTGTATATTTTAATACAAACCTCGAGAGAAATATGTTAGAAGGATTGAGGCCGGCAAAAAATTTCAGTAGACATCATCCATTGTCTATCCCTCTGGAAATCCTTGCCAATCGGAAGCCTCCGATTCATCTTCATCTTGTTCAACTCCGATGCAATGGATGTTGTCCTTCAGGAGAGGAGTGCCCTTTCCTTTACCTAAAAATTTGATCAAAAAAATGTTTTAAATAATTAATTTTAAGTGTCAGCCTTTGATATTGTAGTCCCGCTGCACGATTACCAGCTTCCTGATATTTTTTTTCCTACATAATCACATTCTGCCTCAGTTTTGTCTTTCAACACACATTTTCAATTAAGAGTGTATTACCTGGATATTATTTTTTTGTCCCTATTTTTTTGATTAGGCCATGTACATTTCGGAATTTTCTTCTTTCTTCAGGCCAAAATTTTGATAGTAGTCTAGCACTCTTTCCTTGTGCGCGTTCGATGGTAAGAGAGACACATTAAAATATTAAAAAATCGGAAACGTATAAGAAAATAAAAAATAAAAATAAAAACACTTAGACTGAGAACAAATTGACTGTAGTGACCGCACTGGGTCGCGACCGATTTATTACTGTTTTCCGGTTTCCTCCTTGGCTCTTGTCCACAGGGCTGAGGAATGTGGCATTATCAGCAGTGTTATTATTGACTCAATCTGGGTATTGAGGATGATGCCAGATGTTTTTGCACGTTCAATTTCCGTTTGCTCCTGTAAGTTCATTTTTTTCAACAACAACTAGACAACTATCAAAATTTTGGCCTGAAGAAGGAAGAAAATTCCGAAATGTACATAGCCTAACTCGGAAATCAAGAAAAACCGGACGAAAAAAAAAATAATATCCAGGTGATAATAATCCATCCGGTAAAATGATAAAACCATACAATCTAGTGTAAGAGTGTGTTTGATTAAAAATTAAATGGGAGTGAAGTAATATTTTCATTAATAGCTATAAATGGATATCAGAATCGTGCAGCAATGTCTAGAATCCGCCATCTTTGACAGTCCTTAATTTTCCAAGTTTCATTTTTTAACAGGAAGGTAATCAATACTCTATCTCAAAATTGTGCAAGTGTATTTTTTTGTAATCTAGAGAAAATTTGTAGAAAGTCTTGAGGGATTACGTAGCTTAAATCTCACTGAAAAAATAAAACATGAGTGGAGTTCAAATTTTGTAATGAAAAACCGCAATCTTATTTTTTATAAGAACAGTCTTTTTGGCCAATGCCGTCCAACATCTCTCATTTTCAGTTTCTTATTTTTAAAGGGAGACATGTTCAAAGCCTATAATCACTTTCCTGCAAGAAAAAGAGAAAATGGGTTGATGAGTAGAGTTTCAAAAATAAGAGACGGCAAATGCAATGTAGTTAGCAAATTCCAGTTCAGGCAATCTAATTTTTAATGCATGAGTCTATGTTCTCGCTTATTTAGACTCCATTAACAACATGGAACCGTTTGTAGAATTGAAAATGAAATTTAGATCCTTACTATCATAATGTAAATGATTTCTATCTGAAGTAATTAATGGAAGAAAGCTTACCTAGAACTCTAGCTGTGAGCTGCAAGATTGTTTTATCCCCCTCATTATTCATCTGAAATGCCAGTTCTTCTTTCAACAATTTCTCCTTGTGAGCAAAGAGCTCAACGAAAAAATTGACTTGGTTTGCGTCAACCTCTATCTTGGAGAAAGTACAGTTGAAGTTCGGGACTGTGGGTGAGACTGGTACAAGTTTTGCACCGTCTTTGACCCTCATCATTGTCTTTGAGGAGGAGAAGGAGATTGCATAGCGGTGGTTAATTTGGAGGAAACCCAAATGAATCTGGAAAATGTTAGGTTCTGCGCCAGGCTTGATTATGATTTCATTATCTCGGCCAAAAGTATCATTTCCCTCATTGAAATGAACATGATGATGCTCTGAAAAATAGAGGAAAATTTTTATTGGTGAGGACAGCATACAGCAGCATGGCCAGAAATCAGAAAAACTCAGGGAATGCAACTCGACCGAGAAAAATCAGAGAATTCTTGGTGAAGCCAGGATCCTTGTAAAAATCGGGTATGCGATGGGTCAGCTGATTGCGTTGTTGTGCCAACATTTTGACCACATTACATAATTAAGTGCCTTTACGTTAGCGCAAAAAAGTCAGGGAATTTCATTAGAAGTCAGGGAAAAATCAGGGAGTAATAAAATGAAATTTTGCTAGCCACCCTGGAACTGACGTTGTTACGGTTCAGTGCTCATTCTGCTGCGGACATCTTACTGGAATAATTTTATTTCTAAATGTTCAATGCCAAAGTGATTCATTATCATAAATGAAGTTCTGTTATCATGGTTGATAGAAACGAGAGATCGAATACATTTTCATCTCCTCTTGCCTTTCAATCTAGCTTGGCAGACAGAGAACCTTGATTTGTTCAAATAACAAATCGACGGTGTAAGTCAGCGATCACATAACCCGGTTTGCGACTTCGCAGACTTCTTATCATACTTAATTTTTTAAACGGAATACTACTTAACGGCAACTCTTTAAAACCGCCATGATTTTTCTTCTCTGTGCGAAGAAAATTCTACCAAAACTTCAAGGAATGATGTCAATTTGTTCTCCTTTAGAAAAATAACTTAGAGGCTGAGATTTTCAGACACCGCAAACGAGTTATGTGATTGCCGACTTACACCGTCGAAATAATGAATAGAAAGCGATGTAGGAAAGAGAAAACTATTCAAATAGCCAGGAAAATCAATACATACTAAATAATTCAGAAAAATACCTTTATTAGCAGTCATGGTCGTATTGAAGTGTCGATGGTGGTTGTCATTGAAACTTGCGGCACCGATCAATTCTATCCAAACGAATAATACAAAAACTGAATAACAGTTCCTTCTCAATGAGAGGACCTGAGGAAAATGAAGAAGGAATGCAAATCACAAATTAAAAAGCTCTGTTCGAAATTTAAAGCTACATTCTAATGTGTTTGTTTACGTGAGTTATCTGTCAGAAGTGCGGATTCAAGCGTGTCAATTCTGAAGAGCCAGAATTTACTTTTGTTTCCATCATATTTGAAAGTCTTTTTTCTTTTGAATCAACCTGACCTTCAAGGTTATTATTTTTTAAGAAATTAAGAGTTATATCAAGATTCTATCGCAAAGGCTATCATCGTACTTCCATCCAACATTTTTACCTCAGACTCCAATGAAGTTCAAACATCTTTCGAATCCGCGCTTACGTTATTATGTTGGCAATGCCGAAGAAGCGCCAACAGCGATGGCTTTGAAAAACGGGAAAGTTCCCTAACTTCCCGCACTATCCATTTTTGCCGTATTACAATTTATTTTTGATATTTTATCTTAAGTTTTCCTCAATTTTAAATTTTTAAAGCAGAATTTAAAAATTGTAACCAAACAATATCATTGCCGATCCATCTTATATCCGAGATGTAAAATTATGTGATCGTATTTCTTTGTCCAACATTTAAAAGTGTGCCATAATCACTTTTTTCTTACTGAATACGGAGTGTAGTAAACCGTTTCTCAGAATAATCTTGAAACTTCAATCATATATATGTTTAATCTAAAATGAATATCATCAATAATGTCTTATTTTGATGTAAATAATTTGTGCATGTTGGTTAGGTCTTTGCTTTCAGATTGACTAAAAAACTACATATTACAAAAAAGGGTGGGAATATAAAATCCATCTGTCAAAAATCAATGCGATATAGAGTCACCAAAATTCTATTCACGTCAAAATGTTCAATTTTTGGTCCGAGCGATCAACCAAGAAGAAGATTTTTGGGCGGCAGGTGTTTTGGGGGCGCGTCAATTTGAATTTGGCGCGTCTGAATATGCGTGAAGGATAGCCCCTCTGATTGGTCGGACGATTGACGTCATCGGTTGAAGCGCCGGATGGCGCTCAAATTATAAAGTATTGAACGCTGAAAATTTCTGCGTGCGCGCACTGTCCGACTGTTTATTTTCATCTTCCCTCCCCTCCTCCCCGCGGGCGATGCAGCTTCCGCTGAAAGCTCTAAGTTCCCAGAAGTTTGTTTTCACTCTAGTTCGAAAATTCCTCCATCTTTACTCCCTTTTATTTTGATACCTTATCTCAACAGTCCGTTGGGGGGTTAAGTGTTTTATCATGTCCTAATGTAAGAGTGTCTTTCACTGTTTTTCGACGGCTTTTTGTTCCTTATTTTTTTTTGTTTTCAAATATCTTTATTATGCGAACACTCTGGCTAATCTAGGAGAAAGTAAGCAAGATTTGGTAAGTCCTCATTTTGGTTATCTATTGTTCCTAGCCTTACCTTCCTCTCCAATTTTCTAGTTCATCCATCATTACTTATCTATATCAGTCTCTTATCATTCAAGAGCAGTTTACTAGAATTTAGATTTTTTTTTATCGGATCTCTTTGATTACTCATTCAAATGAATAAAAAAAATAATCCAGGAAATTAATGTTTTTACCCCTCAAATCAGGAGCTGTAGGTATTTCCCTTTGAATGTAAATTTAAATGCAAGTTTGGCAATAAGTTTCAAAATTATAAACCTGAAAAGAATGGCAGGTGAGCAATTGATCTGACAAACATGGCCAAAAGTTTAATATTTTTTATTTCACATAAAATCTACAATGTTATTTGAGATATTTCAAGCGCTCTATATCTTTAAAAGATGCCAAAGAAACGCTAGAAACATATTTTCCAAGCCCTTGAGTTTTCCTTTTTTTGGAGGTTCTCATTTTAATTCTCAATCAAAAATTATTCTTCTGTTCAAGCTCCAAGATTTTACCTCCATCTTTTTTACCTTCCACTCTTTTTTTGGCGGGTATAAACTAATTTTCTGAAGAACCTAGTGGCATCAAAAATTTTTTTTAAGCACCAACTTCAAGTAGAGTCATGGTGCATGAATAACCTGCAACCTCCCTGTGCCCCCCTAAAAAGCACAGAAATTCAAGGGCTCTTGCTCTAAAATTGAATTTTGTAGAGTTATGGCGTATTAATTTGTTCCAAAACAAAACAAAAAAAAGAACAATAATTCTGGCAAAGGCAATAAATAATATATAGGAACGATGGTCAGAAGGGGTTAATTACATTGCAATGTGGTCAAATTCACTCCATAACTTTTTTTTTATTTTCTTAAGAATTGATGCCTACTTACTTACTTTCTTTTAAAATCTGTCGTAAATTTCCAGTAACATCTGACGTAAATTGACAGAAATTCTCTAATATTTTCGCTAAGTGTGCACCCATCAATGCATTTTTACGGATAAGCCAGAAAATGTAGTTCCTAATTGCACAATGTAGTCTGGTTGTCAGGTGAAACTTTGCAACATTCCAATTGGATTAAGCCCCCCCCCCCTTGTATCTCCCTTTTTTTCCTGGAATAAATTTTAATCACCTCAACTGATATCTTTTTTGCAGGATGCTCAGGATATCAAAGATGTTCAACTTGCTTTTCAAACATCTATCGGACAAACCAATGGCAACACGACGGTTTACATGTATGGAGCTGCGGATGAGGGAGGCGTAACTCTACAGCTGAGGGATGTTGATGACCTAGACTCCAAGAGCAGTCTTGCGTCTGTTCTCGCTCAACTGCAGGAAGAGGATGCGGCTGCTCTTAGCATCAGTTACACTGACGACAGTTTGGCCAATGTTCTCCTCGATTCCAACTTCCCGTCAAGTATTCCATCAACTGGTAATTTTTTTCTCCTTTCCTACTTCTAGCAGCAGGGTGCGCAAGTGAAATAAAGACTGTGAAATATTTCATGAAATTTCACAAAGTTGTGGAAAATATGAAACATATTTTGCAGTGAAAAATTGCCGGATAATATGAAACTTCGCTCTCTTAATAAGCAAAGGCACAAAAAATTGACGAAACTGTGGGCAGATTATTGAAAATGGTAGATAGATCCTAAGACATAGAGTACATCAGGCTTTCTGATTACAATTAGGTACAATTTTAGTCATAAAATCGAATGATTAATACCTACCTGAAGAAAAAAGTTTCTTATGTTTCTGTCATTCCCAAAGAAATTTATGCCAAAATTGATAGTTCATTTTCAATTCTATGCACGCAAATTGTGGGTGTGAAAAGTCAGGAAATTTTGATCAATTTGGTCAGGGAAAACCTGGAAAAATGAAACAATTTTTTCTTGCTTAGACTGAAGAAATTCTAGTGAGTTTTCTATCTAATCTCAGAATCAAATTCTTCTACAAAATTTGACAAAAATCGTTCCTCTGAAAATTTTACGTCTGTAGAAAGCCTTTTTTCCCATGAACGGTCTTTTATAAAAATTGTAATGTGATTTCTTAACTCTGCATAAAAATTGCAATGTAATTTATTAACTCTGTATAAAAATTGTAATGTGATTTATTGACTCTGTTTCCATTTCCTCTGTGTTCCAGTAGGAGCTTCCATTGATACTTCTACATTGGATTTGTTTGACTCAGAAAATGCTCAGGACTTGACTCTTTCTCCTCAAACATTCACCAGCTCAACAGAAGCATTTATTAATAACAACTCAGACTGTCTCAGTAAGTCATCGTTACTTCATAATAATTTACTTTAAAACGGATAAAAGTAATCCGTTACCCAAGCACAATCCCGTACATAAATTCGTCAGTATTAGTATTAACTAATCATCAGATAGATCTGTCATATCAACGGCCGAAATGTGAAACCATGTTTCTTCATTGCAAAGTTTTAAAATGCCCTACCTCTTTTATTTTTCGTGAGAGTAACAAGCCAAATTTATAGATTCAAATTTATACAGAATATTCTGCGAACGTAGAACAAAAATCGAGAAAGTTCTCAAGAGAATGTGTTGACTAGTTTTCCTAAGAAAAAAATGAATTGTGACAGGAATTGTGCAACATTGCAATCAGAGATACGTGATTGAGCACCGTGGCCTCTTACTAAAATACTACTTCCTTCACTGATCTCATTCGGAAGCAGTTTGGCAAGACTGCTACACATTCCTGTCATCAATCGCAAGTTTGCCTTGCACCTAATCAACACCAGCCCTCAATGCAGCCTGACAACACTTTCAAGCTCATCCAATGTACCTGGGTTTTTTCTCTTTCATTTCAATTTTTTCCTACAAAATACAAGCATGAGTCCTTCTTTAAAATTCCTGGAATCATTATTACCACATTAACTTCAGAGCCCTTAGCCACTCTCAGATTTACAGGATAGACAACCGTAGTAGTTGCGTAGTGGCAGCATATTTCAGAGCGGAAAAAAGTGCTATGATATATTTTTTTCTTCTTTTTTAAGCACCAGCTATGCTGAGAAGATTTGGCAAAAAGATTCAAACTTCCTCAAAAGAAACACTATTTTTGTTAATTTGACAGTACCTTTGGTATGTAATTTTCTTGATAGATCCATTATCGAGGCAGCACACTTTTATTCTTGTTGTCTTGATGCAGTAAAATATTGAATCCTGCCATGTTTTTACGTCCTATTATCATAAAAATTTATTCAAAAGGTAGTCTCCCCCTCATTATTGTAGTTGAGTCTATTTTGAGGCTTGATTGAATTGGATTCCCTCGTGTCTCTTACTTCAATCTCCACAGTTTTAAATTCTATCATTCGACCATATTTTATGTACGTACCTCCTATCATAATTGCCTTTTATCCAAGTAGATAGGTTTTTCGGTATAAAAAGGAGAGAACAAGTATTGCATATAAGTCCTCAGCCAACCAATTGAAAACAAAGCTAGGAAAAACATTATTGGATTGAATATTTGCTCTTAAATGTATGCATACTTTTATACTGTTACAGCCGACAGTGCAGAAGACTCAACAGGAGCTTCAGACGCAAGTCGTCTTGTTGTAATCAAATCGAGGCCAAAAGCCTCGTCTCCGAACAGGCAAGGGCCTCAGCAATGCCAGGTAACTAACGTCCCAACTATAAAAATGAAGGACATTTTTTTTATAATAATTTAAATTTACATGTCAAAGGTGAAACTACCAGACCATGGTTTATGACGTTGCAGACTTCCTATCATACTCTATTTTCTAAACGGATAACTACTCAACGTCAATTCTTGAAAACCGCCATGCTCTTCTCTGTGCGAAGAAAACTCTATGAAAACTTCAAGGAATGACATTGATTTGTTCTCCTTCAAAAAATTAAAATGGGAGCGGAGGAAATTTTTGAACATTGTAAACGAGATGCGTGGTCTGGTGGTTCCACGGTTGATGTGCCATGATCAAATCATAAGATAAAGATAGGTATCAGGCCATTAACATATTTCTTCATTTACTTTTTTGAAATAAGAATTAGTAACTTTAAACTTAAAGAAAATATATTCTGCACTACCATACCTTTGGTATTATGGTAATTGTATAATAAATTTTCATAAATTCATTTTCTTTAAAAAAAAAAAAAAAAATAAGTAAAAATGAAAATAAAAAAAACAGTTCAAATTAATGAAATTAATACTTCAGCTTTTGTTGAATTATAGGCTTGCGCAATATGAAGACGTGGTCTCTCTAGAATCACATCACTTGATCTCTTCCGAGTTCTGTTTTTATTTTTGGATGTATTATTTTTTATAAACTCAAAAGATTTTACCGTCTTTATTTGTTGTGTTTGGTTCTTAATGAAATTGTATTCTGGTGATAATTTTGAAATCTTTCCACTTCTTCCTAGGTTTGTGGGAAAGTTTTTGGTAACGCATCTGCCCTTGCCAAGCATAGACTGACCCACAGTGATGAGCGGAAATATGTCTGTAGCATGTGTACAAAAGCGTTTAAGCGGCAGGATCATTTGTAAGTAAAATTTTTATATTGTTTTCGGGAGCAGGAAATATATTTTGGAATAATTATAAAGGGAGCATTTTTACACTCCATTAAAATTGGAATTGAATACTGTTCAAATATTTTTGATCTGGCAATACAAATGAGACATTAAAAATTAAAATTTTTAATCAACTATAGAACATCATTTGTCTCAAATTTGTTGATATTAATCTCTCGTTGTTTTCCCCTACCAATTTTACTATACTTCATTTTTTCCGTCCCAGTATTCTGGTATTTTGATTTCTCTATTACAACAATTCACAAAGAAGTCCAGAATGGCAAAACGAAAGTGAAAAACTACTCATGCAAATGGAGAATGAGGTTTTAGAGAAAAATTTGAAGATTTTTCTTTGAGGTTTAAATCTTCTATTATTTTATTTCTTTTGTTGTTGAATGATAGCTATTAACCAAAATTTCTGGGAGTTTGTTTTATGTGGTTTTAGTCGAAATTCCTGTAATGCCATATCATTTTTTAAACTTTATTTTTGTGTTGTCTACATTGATTTCAGTTCATACTTTTGCTTTTCCAAGGGAAGATGAGGCTTACAATCCATTTCATTCCTCTAATATGAGTAAATTAAATTGCATTTTTCATTTTTGTTTCAGGAACGGGCACATGCTAACACACCGCAGCAAAAAACCATACGAGTGCAAAGCAGATGGTTGCGGGAAATCATATTGCGATGCACGCTCTTTACGTCGCCACACTGAGAACCACCATTCATGTTCAAATTCCTCCACACCAACCTCTCCCGATGCCCAATCGTCTTTCTCATCCTGCATACAGTTTGCGCCTCCACCCCCCACGCCACCGCCCGCCTCAACCCCTCCTCTCACACCCCTCTCACCGTCCGTTCCTGTCAATGCTCCTCCACCCCCCTTGAAAGCGCCCAGCCAGCTCCAGCAACTCTTGGCCAGTGAGCCAATCTCCAGTTCCTCCATCAAATCTGTAAGTTGAGGATTTTTTAAATACTTTCCATCAATTTCATCTCTCCGCGGCTTGGAATGCTTTGAATTGCATTTGTTAATACTTGAACTTTCCCTAAATCCCCAAAATACATTACCCGTTTTACTAAGTACATATTTATGAATTGGACTTCTTTCAGCAGCATTGCACTAAGTTCCATCAAGTCTAAAGTGTAAAAAAGAGGTTTGAAGTTTTACTAGTGTAGTAAAAAGTTTCTTGATGAAAATTCCTTAATTCCTCAAAAAAAACTTGCCCTTGTAGCAAGCTTCACTTCGTGTGATTTTGTTCTTGAAAACTATCATAAACCCTGAGTTAGTGAGTTACACCATTGCAGAATTTAAGTTGATTTTTTTTTTCAATAATTTACCTATCGAGAATCATTGAAATCAATTCCAACGGGATTTCTAAATTAAGTAATGGGTAAGATGTAGTCTTTGTACCCTTAAATGAAACGTAAAAAAACTTAACCTGCATTTTAAACATGCAAATTTGAAGATAAGTGTAAAAATTAAGAATTTTATTTTCTTGAAACAATCAATATTATCACAAAAGTTTTTTTGGTCCTGTGAATGAAAGATGAATCTTATTTTTTCAGATTTCTGTCAGCGATTTAGATCCAAAACCAGCTGTGAGTAGCGCCTCTGCGTCTTCTACTCCTTCCAGTGGGAGCTCTTCTGCTGATAATTCCACCAGCACAACCCCACCCTCCAAGACTGATCCTAAACCTGTCGAATGTAATCTATGTCATCGGTCATTCAAAAATTTTCCAGCGCTGAATGGACATATGCGCTTGCATGGCGGATATTTCAAGAAGGTTTGTCAATGGTTTAAATCATTATGATATTTCACATGCATGCATTCTTATCCTCTCTTGGAATTTTAAATTTAAATCATCAGGTGTCTTTTACATACTTCATTATCACTACCTAAATCCTAATACAAATTCTCAAAAAACGATAAATATCCCCCCCTCCCTTCCAAAAAAAAACAAAAATAAAAGAATAAAAGAATAAAGAGAAAACTTCAAAATTTATGACTCTGGACACTTCTTTCTGAAGCATTAGCGAACGACAAGCTTTCCTTATGTTGCAGGATTCTGATTGTAAAAAGTCAGAGAAACGAGAATCATCTGGGCCTCCGCTTCAAACAGCCAGCATCAGTGTTCGTGCACTCATCGAAGAGAAGATTATTCAAAAGAGGAATACAAACCCTGCGCTCTCTTTACAGAATCAGACAAATGTTTCCACTTCCAGTAAGTCTGGTTTTTCTTCCCATTTGATCTTCTCTGAGTCAATTTGGAGATTTTCGTCACCAATATCCCTTTTTTGTGAATGGTCGCATTTCATATTTTCCAAATAAAGATAGTGCGTGACGTCATACCAGGATTGCAAATTTTAAAAAGAATCTTAGCTGTGTTTTTAACTTGCTTTCATTTTTTTTAAAATTAAATTTATGAAAAAAAAAAAAAAAACAAACAAAAATTATCAAAAAAGTGCAAGTGAGTCCGAAGCAGCTTAAAAAAATGTCCATATTCTTGTGCTGACTTCAGAAGTGTCTCTTTGCAAATTATACTGAAATACTTAACTTTTTACATAAAAATGACGTGATGACTTCTGTTCAAAATTTGTTTGATATCTGTCAGCAATTTGTGAAAAATCCCTCTTTACCTATTAGTATAAGCTAAGCAGTTTCCAAGGAAAAGATCGAATTTTGCAAAGTTGATATATATTGTGTTGCGTCGCATTGTCTGGGAAACAGCAATTAAGGATTTCTCTAGAAGAAAGGCGTAAAGCCTGCTCATATACTCTTTTCCCAAACATTTGGTTTTTATATAATCAGTACATTATTGTGCATATGTGTATACTTTCAGATAAATTTGCCAAGTTTTGAAGCCAGGACACTAGTTTCTCGATTATAGGATCATAGATTTAGAAATATTCTCAGAAAGAGCACCAATACACTTGAGGAGCATTTTTTCTGGAAATCTGTTGTTGAAAAATTTTTTCATGTTCAGTATTGTGTTGGTATACCTGGATTTGTAGCAGACTTTTCATTTATGCTATTAAAAATTAGCTTCAGTCACCAAAACCTATAATATGTTAACAATGATCCATTTCCTGTAAAACGGAGTGTAACCACTTATTTTTAAAAATCCCTTCCACAACAACCAACCTTAATCAAGTTTAAGTGATGTTCTAATTTCATTCCAAGATGCATAAACTTTGATTAAGTCCTTGAGTTTCACCATAAGTAACTCCCGGTCAGAAAATAAAAGTGAAAAACTTTAAATGTATTTACCTTCATGACGCTTTTTTTCATTACACATCCTTTTTCCGGAAAACTTCTCAATCCAAACAAAATTCAGCCAATATTTTCGTCATCAAAACATTGGTTAAAGATTTGCCTAGATGTCTACTTCCAATTAGGCCATATATTCTGAGATGTGTTGTTCTGAATACTTGTTGATTAATTTACAGGTTCTGAGTCGGTCAAATTCATTAGCTCCACACAATCAAGTATATCGAAATCTAGTCAATCAAACGACAAAGGATCGTCGTCATTTATCATATCAGTCGCTCCGTCCCAACAAGATCAAACACAAGCAACACAGAAGGCGTGGAAAACCAATTTCACCCCTCTTGTATTGACGTCGCCAAAAGAAAAAAGTGCCAAAGATCAGAGTTCCTCCTCAAATGCTCAAAATAGAAAACTAAAAAGGTAATATATCAAAACGCATCACTAAGCTAGTTTTGGCTCATTAAAAAACTGTCCAAACGACCTCTTAGCACAAGATATTAACTGTCAATTTCTCTTTTGTTTTTTTTTAAACGCACCCATCATGGTAAGCCATCTTCCAAGTGAAAGGAGCTTCTTTTCGGACTATTTTTTGGATAAAAGTACCATTACAGTCAACACGATTTCCTTATTATCTTTATCCTGAAATAAGTACTTAACTGAACAAAGAAGATTACAGTAACCAGTGCAATAATATCTAAGTTCCAATTGAGTTTTAGATACTATATTTTGACAAAAGGCAAAGTTTTTGATTCCATATTCCCCCCTTCATGAAGATGAACCTACGTAATAAAAGTTTGAACTCTCTTCTTTCAAATTTTTTCATACTTCTTATTATCCTCGTTTCATTCAGTCACAAATTCTACACATCCCTAGTAGCAGTGGCTGTTGAGAAAAGTTGTAAAAAACTCGTAAATTTTAAGAGACCTTAAAATTTCCTTCAAAACCACTTGAAAATCACGTAAAAAAACTCTTGAAATATTCGTATCAGGAGACCCTTTTTGGGGCTTTTTTTACCTAAAATTGAAGACAAATTTTAGGTAAAATTTACGTATTTTTTTGATAAACCTCCTGCAGGCAAAAACGAGGGGAAAAAAGTGGTGAACAGAAAAGTATAAAAAAGGAAAAGTTGCAGCCCATAAAAATTTAGGATATAGTTTGTTGTTTTTACGTAAATTTCAAGTTTTCTTTTAATTAAAATAACACTATTCTTTTATTTTAAGGAATTCCCTAAAACGGTATCCTGAAACGAGTATTTTAAGAGTTTTTTCACTTAAAATTTACAAGTTTTTTTCATTTTTTTTGACAACTTTTTGTAGAATTTTTTTTAGAGCCATTGCTACTTGGGATACCTCTCACACATAATTCAGCTCAAAATATGTAAAGTATAAGTATTATTGTTAGAAAAAATGTCTCTAGCATGATACAACTTGTGCTCGGCTAATTTCCCTCATCTTTTCACAGGGAATCCTCTGATCCTTCTTCGCCTCGTGATCCGCCAAAACTAATTAAATTACCTGAAAAAAATCTGATACGCATAAAAAATGGATCGCTTCCGCAGTTCACTTCCAACGGTGGTGTTTCTGAGCTGGCCAACGCTGACGGTTTTTCGCACAAAACTTTCCTCCTCCAAGACATCAACTCTTTTCAGCAGCAGTTGAACAATGCAACACCACAGGTAACTACGATTTATTTTCTCAGTTTACTATCAGTACATATTTTCCTATTAAAACTATAAGCCTAACTAAATAACAGCACGGAAAAAAGTTGCTGGGATGTTCAAAATCTGCATGATAACTCTAGAATGTTGGTATGAACCTGGCTGTTGAAGTAAAATCCTAGCGACATTGAATGAACAACCAAAGCGTTCATGTATCAACATTCCAGAGTTGTCATGCAGATTTATAACCTCCTAGGATTTTAATTCAGCAACTTTTATGAAAGGATTTTTTTAATTTTTTTGTTTTGCCTCTGGTAAATGAAGTGTAGTGAGAAATTTGAATTTTTGTAACTAAAGTATGTAGTCTAGAAGTAGCAATGGATTTGAAGTCACTAATAATTGGAGGGTAAAAGTGGTGGCATCTCAAGTGCTGGTACGTAATTCATTCAAAATTTTAGGGTCGTGTATAGTGCATCTACAGTCGAAAGAATCCAATTTTGAGCCGGAAGATTTAAAACCGTGACACTAATTTCCTTCAGTTTCTGTTCGTCATACCAGTAAGCAGTGACATTAATTTCACGAATGAGAAACGTACGTTACAGAAAAGTAATAATTAAAGATGACGCTACTTTACTAGCACTGACTGTCAAAAAAACTTTTAAAAAACTTTGTCAATTCATAAAATACATCTCTCAAAAATAAACATATAAAAGAATAAAAAATAAATAGTAAATGTTTACATACTCTAAGAAATTCTTCTGAGGTAGTTTTAAAGTGAAATTTACAAGAAGTAATATTTAAGTGAAATTAAAACTAAAAGTGTTGAAAAAAAACTTCTAAAGTAGCAAATATGATTCTTCAACACTAAGTTTGATCGAAAAAAATGTCAAATAACTCTTTGAAAGGAGTCATTTTTTTTGTAAGAATTTTTTACGTAAATTTCACAAAGAATTAACATCTCCTTATGAAAGTAACTGAATAGCGTTCCCATAAAACGAATATGTTAACAGTTTCCCTAAGTGTTTCTGAAAATTGTGTTTTATAGATAGCTGCCACTGAGGACCGTATTCTCATAAATGACCTATCATCATTTTAATTGATGTTGAAATTGCATCGACTTTTTCACAAGTTTCTTTTGTTCCTGGAATTTTATTATTCAGTAGGAATATTTAAATAGTTTGTTTTGCCCCACAATAATGATCAAAAATACCAATGTCCTCAGTAAACTATCGCACATGTTTGCGGAAGTTTAAACAAATTATTCAACATCTCTTAAGTTTCAGACTGGCCTTAGTTCATCAGTCACCATATACTTAATTGCAGCACGTTGATCTCAATGTAGTAACCTTGCGCCAGATATTAATTTCATTCCAACAATTTTTTTCTTCCAGGAAACTATTTCTAATACAATTCCAGATTCCAAGAACAACAACCACCAAAACAAAGAAATCCAATCTCTCCTGAAAACGATTCTGCCCGTCAGCCTCTCAGATCTGCTCTTCCAGTCGAATCCGACTAAAAAATCAGACGTTGTGTCGCCTGCTTCCTCATGCTCAACAATTAATCAGACTGTGAACTCCATGACAATCAGCGCATCAGAGTCTAGCGCTGTCAGTGTGCCTTCAATGAATTCCATGACAATCCATGCCCCAACGGTTGTTCGACCGGGTCTCCAGCAAAATCCTGCTCAGGTTTCAACTTGTCTCCTCTCTTGAATAATCAAAATATCGATGGGCAAAGTGCAAAACCAAGTTTCTCCATTTGCAACGTTGCAGACCTCCTGTCATACTTTATTTCTTCTTTTGAAAACTAGTCAACGTAATTTCTTGAAATCTTTCTTGATTTTTCTTCTCTATTGACAGAATATTATGTATAAATTTAAAGCTATTAGTTGACTTGTTCCTCATTGGAAAAATAAAATAGAAGCGGAAGTTTTGAAACACTGCAATGGAGATGCGTGGTTTTGCCCTTTAGCCATCGATATGTTTTTTGTGAATATCATTCAACAAGTTCCTAACAAGTTTAAACTTTAAATCCATGAGTTCACTCCTACAAAGTTTTTCCTACAAATTACTAAGAATTTACTCTTATAACTTTCAAGAACATTTTTAAGTTTTTCCTGATTTGGAAGAAAAATAATCACAAAAAACAAAATATTTACGATAAACGGTCGATCAGAATTCGAAGGATCAAAGATTTCATCAATAAAATGGAGACTTTTAGAAGGAAAGAAATGAACTCCAAAATAAATGAAAATTTTGCTCATTCCAATTTTGGCTGATTTCGTTCTCAAGTGAAGCGTTTCATTTTATGTCCTCAAGCAAGTAATTTCTCTAGGATGCAGATGTGCAGGTATCTCTTGAAAAGGAGAGAACTTGAAATAGAACAAGGGTTTGCAATGGCTATTATTATAAATTTCAAGTAAAAACAATTTAAGTGAAGGGATTTAGAATAACGTGAGATAAAATCACATGAAAATTCTTCTCATTGAAGGTTCACTCCTCAGATTCATCAAGCTATTACTGCAGAATGTCTTTTTCAAACAATGAAAGTATTTTGGTGGCGTTGCAGCCCCCCTCCATGAACTTCAAAATGGAATTCTGAAGGTAAAATATGAAGATGAAAAGAGACCTGACGTCCTTGATACTAGTTTATGCTTCAAAAAAACCATTTGGAGGAGAAAGTTTGAATATTTTTTTCAAATTTTGACTTGTGAACGTCTTCTTCAAGGAGAAAAGAAGAAGATCTAAAGTCCTTGAGACTAGTTTGAATTTTTAAAGAAACCATTTTGAGGAGAAAATTTTGATTTTTTTCAAATTTTAATGTGTATAGGTCTTTGTCAAGGAGAAAACAAAAGAAATCTAATGTCTTTGAGACTGGTTTAAGTTTTAAAGAAACCATTCCAGGGAAAGAACTTGAATTTTTCTTCAAAGACGTGGAAAGGTCTTTGTTAAAGAGATAACTTCCTTAACTATTCAATAACTTGGCTGCAATGGATCTTTTTTTGTGCGAAATCACAGATGAATCACTTTAATGAAATTTTGTTCCAGGTTGTGACAGTTGATTCCCTGCAAAATGTTGTGTGCTTCCCGCCTTCCTCTGTGCCAACCCCTTTATCCGCTTCTTCCATAACTGTGCCACTATCGTCCATCATTGCTCCGTTCTCCAATCAGAGTCTCCAATCGCAACTGATGACAAACTCGGATGATCCACTCCTATCGAGCTGCCCAAAGGATTTCTCTTCGCGGAAGCGCTTTGATCTCCAAACGCTCAAACTCCTCAGCAACGGCAAAATGGATATCCTTTCGAGCAATGCTCAAAATCTAGCCGAGGTCCTTCTCAATTGCAACTGCGAGGTCAAGTTCATTCAAGTTGGCTCGAGTTTCAAGTCAATCAAAGACTTGACCAAGACATCAGCGGTTGTCGTTAAAACTGAAAACGCAACAAGTCAAGAAATCAAGACTGAAGACGCGAAAGTTGGTACGCGAGATGTCAAGTTATGCTCCTTACTTGACGGAACCAGGTGAATACTTTTTTTTTTAGACAAGTTTTGAAAAATTATAAAAATATGGTAACTACTACAAGAACTATTTATATAAATGGTGAAACTGCAGAAATGCGTATCTCAGTTCGCGGCGTTGCAAACTTCCTGACGAACTTTATAATTTCAATTCAAAACTACCAATTGTCATTTTTTGAAAATTTTGGTGGTTCACCTTCTCTATCTAAGGAAAGTTCTGTAAAAATTTCAAGCCATGACGTCCGTTTGGCCTCCTTTTTTCACCAAATAAAATAGGAATGGAGATGTTTAAACACTGCAACCGAGATACGCATTATTGCAGTTTCATCATTGAAATGCCTTGTATATCTATCTATGTGAATTAAATCAAATAACATTAAATTTACAAAGGTATTGAGAAAAAAAGTAACGTTGGATAATACATATTATTTAGAAGAATAATTTTTGAATTCTCTGGTGAATACTCCAAACGCCTTTTTGGTTTTCCCTGCAATACTTGTGAATTTTAAGAACAAACTTTACTCTTACTTATATTGCAGAATTTTCTTTCTTATTTTAATTTCTAAAACAAAAATTGCTGTACATAATTGCGTGGATCTCCCTCTGAATTTTGGTCATCTGTGAACAGAACTCCTCTTAAAATTTCAAGAAATAATGTCCAGCAATTATTCTGTTACACAAAAAATTGGACATTTTGATATGGTGCAATGCAGTTTTCTGTATTGTAAAGTCTCCCTTATTTTTGTTTTAGCTCTATCTTCAACGGAAATCAGCAGAGCTTAGACTCTCCATTGCCCTCTCCAACCAATAAATCACCATTCACCTACACACCATATCCAATTTTGAATTCTGCCTTGAACGGAACCCGCGTCTACTCCCATTCATCACCGTGGCCAAACTTGAGACACAAAGGTAATTTGAGTATAACCTCCATTTACTTTGTGTTTCCTCTCATTATTCTATCTCAAAAATTTCTATTCAACTCAAAATTTAGTGTAGATTTAGGGATCATTATTTTTTGCTCACAATTTCTGGTCGACAGGATCAGTCAAAACTTCCTTTTATTATCATGATTTTCTTTTTTTTCGTAAATTAAAGATATTGATTTGAAAGATTTATAATCTCCAAGTTCGAAAATTTATATTTTTTTGGAGATCAAATCTGAAGATTTTGATAATGCTTTCGATTGCCAACATTGCGGATAAATGTTCCTTATCATCAGAAATGCCACTGATAAATGCAGGATTGCAACTTAGATTATCATTATGTGAAGTAAAAACATAAAATTACAATTAGAAGAATGCGTTGGACATCAAATGTTCTATGAAAAATTATAATTAAAATGGTGGAGGCGGCCAAGAATACTGATTGAAATCATTATAGTGTACTGTCTCGTTGTTTTTTATTTTTTCATTTATTTTGTGCAACTAAGCTGGTAATTTTACAAAAAATTAAGTCTGTCATGCCTCTTTTCCCAGGGGGATCTAATGGGCAAATTGAAGCTGAGAAGCCTGCGATGACACCGCATATAAATGTTGGATTCCAATTTCAAGCAGAAGTACCACCGGTCGAGTTGATTCCTGACAAATTCAGTGACAAAGATGCGTTTGATGTCCTGCTGTGGGATCCTTACATCAATGAAATAATCTCAAATAAAGAATGTAAGCTTTTCCCCTTCATATGAGAGCCGGTTTTACGTCTCACAAAAATACCACTGAAATCAATGTTCTTTTTACTTAAAGGTTGCAAATTATTGATGTAATTCACAATTGTCAGTTATCACCAAAAATACCACTGAAATCGATGTTCTTTTACCTAATGGTTGCAAATTATCGATGTAATTCACCAATTAATTCTAAAATTTGAGAGCAATTTATTATTTTGTCAATTACCACCAAAAATGCACAGAAAGGAGAAGTGTTGCTACAAAGCAATTCATGGGTCAATAATGATTACATACCAAAAAGTGCCCAATATGTATAAACTCTCTTTCACCTTTATTCATTCTTTCTAAAGAGAAAGACAAATTTCACACTATTATTTGATGAAACTCCCATTTTCAGGGAAAGGACTGCTTTTGGAATACCAAGAAATTTGGCGCCGGCTAAATTTCAATATTTTGTCAATATCTGTTCCTTGCGTTATTAGTTGCGTCACAATTACTTTTTAAATTTAACTGTCTATGACACTCTAGAGGAAAGCAGGGCTTGAAAGTTAATTTTGTAGCATTTTTACGTGTCAAATCTCATTGAAATATTGGAACATCTGATTGGTGATCGTTTCTTTGTAGGCTGGGAAGATGAGACAGACAAAAATAATCAAATTCCCCCAAACGATGACAGCATCCAGTGCCATGTCAACACACACATAGCGTCAGTCCCACATCCCCATCAGAAAACGTGTAGGTATGAGGGCAAAAAAAAAAGCACTTTTCAACCCCATTTTTTCCGAGATTGGCGTGTAGAAAAGTTTATTTTAAAAGCTCATAAAATCAAAAGAAATATCATAAATAATATCGAAATGTAACCAGCATTGCATGTCATGGTATTCCGTGCGTAGTCCTTTCTGACTTTTAAACATTAAAAATCAAATAAATTTTCATTCGAAATGAACCGCTTATGTTTCCTCTCCAAAAGAGCTGTACTTGAATTGAAAAATAATGGGGAGTTATTTCGGTCCATTCCAGAATGCGTCAAAAATACAACTCATATCTTGCTTTTGTTCAACTTATGTCACCTAATTTTTTTACTTTTCCACATTTGTTGCAGTGGATATGTTCCTTGAATTTGCATGTTGTGCTTGCATACAGGGTGGAGGCAGGAATAAAGAATGTGCATTGCATATTCTTTACTTATGTCATGGAAACATTCAAGTAAGAATTTCCTTCAGATAAAGTATTTGTCCTTGAATATTAAATATCCATGGCCAATGTGCAAAACCTTCCTATCTTCATTGTGGTGTTCCAAAATGTCTGCCCTCATTTTATTTTTCAAAGAGACGCAAGCTAACTTCGTAGCTTGAAATCTATACAAACTAACAGAGAGAAAAATCATGAAATAAAAAAATCAATCACGATCCTGATAATACCTTGTCTAGTGGCCCTAAGCTAAGGATATCACTGAATTACAAACCAGCCATTTTCAAGGCTTTTCCTTTCTTCAAACTTTTTCTTAGTGGAAACCGTTCGCAAATTTCAAGAACTCTGCACCCTTTTAAACCCCCATTTTGTTTTTATTGATATGTTTTTATACATCGAATGCAATAAGGCTTCTTGTTTGCAAAATATGCACCAGTAGTAGGGCAATTGATCTGTCCACCTTTATTTGAGGGGCTTGGAAGACAAGGCGCATAAGGGCAGTTTTTGAAAAATTGAGGTATTAATGATTTCAAGTAAAACTAGCCTTAATGGAAATTCTGTGAAAAATTTGATCCCAAATTCCAATTTTTAAGCATCAAAAAGTCAGTTTGAACTTTCTTTCGGCCATAAGGATCCATGTAATTTCGAAACTTCAAACACGTATTTCTCAAAATAGCAAAAACTGCACTTATGCGCCTTGTCCTTCAAGCCCCTCATTTCTCCTCTCTAATCTCTCTTCTCTCTTTGATTCTTTCTAATTTTAGGAGGCAATGCTCAAACTGATGCAGCCCACTGCATCTCTCTTCTCTTGCTATCCTTTCATGACGCAAATCAAATATCCGGATGACGAGCGATGGACATCATTCGAAATCGACCTTTTCCACCGAGCAATAACCCTCCACAAAAAAGATTTCCCTGCAGTTTCAAAATTGGTGAGTTAAGTCGGCTTTACAAACTTTTTTGTATTGTTTTCAATTCAATAGACCCAGTCAATTTAATTTTGCTTTTACATTAGTGTTCTTCCAACGGTAGATATGTGTTGTATGAAAAAGGAGGAACTATTTCATAGAGGAACTCCTTTTTCTATCCCTATATTTTTTTAAGTTTCTACCTATAAGGATTTTGACTTTTATAGGGATTTATACAATTGCCGAGAAGTACATTGTATGAGCATTCGAATTTTGTCAAATCCCCGCTTGCAAAATGTTTATTTTTGAGGAAAGTTATGAATATTTTCCCCTGAAATTTTCAGACACTTCATATCCAGCTAGGTACGAACAAAATCCTCTGAAAGATTTCAAGAGAATTATTCACAAAGTTTACCGGAAATTTGTGGTTTATCAAAGGAAATTCAGCAATGTCTGAAGGCTCATATGGAGTTTTTCCTCTGCGTAGCAGACGAGTAAAGAAACATTTTTGTTAATTTTGGGCATCTGCCTTTAGAACTTTTAGATTTTATGAATTGAGAAAAATTAACTCTTCAAATCTGAGAAATTATGTCTTTGATATAGGAAAAGAACCGGCAAATAGTTACTCTGCCTGTTTTTTTTTTTTTACTTTTTATTCCAGAATGATAAACTTGCAAATGCATTCAAGTTTTGAGTAAATAAATTCCGCAAATTTATAAATTAACTATCTGCTAATGCATCAAAACTTTTTTCAATTTAATTTTTCACAAACCTCATTTGCACGTAATCATACCAAAAATGTTTGTGGTAGGTTGGATCCAAAAGCGTGAAGCAATGCATTCAGTTCTATTACATGTGGAAGAAGTCCTGCGCTCAAGAGTACAGAAAACTGAAGCTGGAATCGCACAAAAATGGAAACTCTGAGAATGATGTCGTGGAGATCAAAGTTGAGCCGGAGACTCTGCATGTGGTAAGTAAAATTTTTGTCATTAAGTAGTGAATGAACGGAAGAAAATTGAAGAAGCAAAGGAAATTTCAAGAAAAAGGAAGTTTTTAGATGGCGTAATGATCAAAACATTAAAGGTCTTGTCTCGACGGCGCAACTGTTGAGGGAATTAGGTGCAACTGTTGCGAGTTTGTTGCACCAACCAAAGTTCCCTATCTCGACGCACACGCATGTGTTCCTGGAACTTTCAGGTGGGAATATTTGAACAACATTAATTTTTTTAGGTCAAACGATGTCAACTGAGGTAACTGAACTGATAATAATTATGACCAGGAGGTAAATATTTTGCGTTATTTCAACCAGGTATAAAACAAAAAACAGCAACATAACACAGACATGGATAAAAAGAAAGTATATTCGATAAAATTTTATTTTTATGCTGTAGTGATATACTACAAACGAAAATATAAAATTGATAGTGTAATGTATACAAATATTTTTAAATAACAAAGGCTCAGAAATAAAACCCCCCATAGTAAATTCCCGCTTCATGTGTAATCAGCATTTATCAATTCAGAACACGAAGGTAAACAATTGTTCGAGGTTCCAGGTTTCTGACCTTGACAGTTTCACTTATAAGTGAAACATTTTTGTAACACCTCCTTCCTTCAACAGTTGCACAAAGTACCCTCAACAGTTGCGCCATCGAGACAAGGCCTAAAAAATCGATGGCTCGGGGGCAGTTCAAAGTTTATTTCGGTGGGTTAACGTTGCAATGTTTTGAAATGGCAGTGACCATTTTATTCTTGTCCATGAAAGCTGCTTCGGTTTCTGTGAGAATTTGTGAAATTTTTTTCCTTTTTCAAGAGAAAAAACTGGGGTACTCTCTCACTGGAAAAGAAAGGAATGCAGGGTTTCTAGCAGTCCAAAAAACCTAGAAAGCCTGAGAATTTGTGGCAACCTGGAAGAGTCAGGGAATTAACAGAAAAAGTTGAGGAATTTGACAAGTAGTAAGTTAGCTCAGTGGCATAATTAAAAGGGGAAAACAAATTTAAGAGAATGTTTGTTAGAGGTCAGGGAAAGTCAGGGAATCCGAAAATTTTAGAATCAGAAAAAAGCAGACGAAGGGGACGCCCGGTGAGAGGGTGGCGACAGGGGGTATTAAATGAGATGAGGGAGTGTCAACTTTCTGATGACCTGTGGGAAGACCGAGTTTTGTAGCGATTAGGCGTCGCACAGCGCCAAAGAGCGCTATAAAAGCGACTCCTGTATGTATGTAAAAAGCAAATAAGTCAGGGAACTAGAAAATTACGAAATTATAGAAACCTTGGAAATGGATGTGGACGTTTTGAGATAGATAGGACTGATAATGCTTTAAAGTTTTCTCTTCAAAGTATTTCGCTTTTGTCATGCACGATATTTATTCTGATTCTTACTTTTTTAATAGGTATAATAAGTAACCACGAGTATACTTTTTGCCAACAGGTTCTGTAATAATTGTGAATTGCTGTTTGTGAATAACTGAACCTTCTCAAGAATTCTTCCAAGTGCTTTTTCTAAAATTGTAGAGTTCTAGATTATATTTGTCTTCTCAAAGTCTTTTGAATTTGTTGTTATAAGACTTTTTGTTGTTTCATTGTGACTTCTGTGTTTTTAGAGATGTTAAAAAAGTTCTAGGTCCTAAGCTTACTTAATCTTCCTTTCGATGTCTTTATTGCAATATTTTTGGAATCAATCATAGTGATGATAAAATACCGGCAATTTATTTTGTAATGAATTAATGTAAGGCAGTTTTAACTCCCCTTTTGGAAGTATGCTTTACTTTTTTTGACTCTTTTTCAATGAATCGTTCACTTGGCTCACTTTATGAACGTGAAAAACTACACTTTGAAAAATAGTATCCTTTAGATTTTTCTCTAGTCTTCACAGTGTGGTTTCATCATGTTTACTTGTTATTTTTTTCGTCTTAAGATAATTTATGAAATGATTTGAATCAGTGTTGTGAACTTTTATGTTAGATGCTTGTTTGATCAAAAGTGCAGTCGAAAGGATCTGTAAGAGAATTCCTCTGGGAATGAGCCCCGTAAGCTCTCAAGCATAATTAAATAATTTACTTGGCAAGGCATGTCAATGGTGAAAATTTGAAACCATTTTCCTTGGTTTGCAACAATCCAGATTTCTTGTGATATTTTACGCCTTTGAAAGATACTTTATCATCAGTATTGCTGAAATATTTACAGTATATATAATAATAATACAAAATTTATTCACAAATACTCGCTGATAACCATATATATTATTGTTTATAAATGATTTTCCTTCGTCCTTTGTGAATAACCTCCGAAAATTTTGCATGAAAATTTCAATTTTAATACTTTGAAGTAAATCTACACTAGAAGCAAACAAGCACTGAGATATGAAACACTTTTTTTTTTAAATTACTGTTCTCATTTTGAAGTTTCAGCAATAAAAACGGATTAATTGCGCCAAGAGGCATATTTAAGCCGATACCTTGAAAAAAAAAAATCATTTTTATAACTCTAAAGTAAAAATTAAAGTATACAAACACTACACATTGCATTCAATGAGTAAAATTGAACGGGTAACTCTCCACACCTGTCCCTGAATGTGCGTCACTGCTATCAACTAAAGCTAAAATAAATATTAGCGTGAGAAATTTCTGAACCTTTCGGCTGTACTACTGTGCTTTACTATCATTGTTTCATTGTTCTCAGTATTTACGTACTTCTTTATTTTATTACCAGTTATTTTGTTTTTTATTTTGTTTTGTTTTTTAAAAGCTTTAAGTAAATAATTTACTGTAGATAATTTATCAAAACCTGTTTACATACCAGTCTCTTTTTTTCTAATTTTTCCTCCCCTACTCTGAATGAACTTGATATATTTGAATCCAAAATTGTGGTAATGATGGATGTTTTCGAGCATCGAGCAAAGTGGTACATTTTCAAGCCAGGAGAATGCGAATATCACGTTAACCACTAGTTGTGCAGAAAAACGGACGAAATTTGCAGGCTCCTCTGCATTCCTGCAATTACTGTTGCAACCCCCCTCCTCCCCATGGGGTCGAGGGCCCCCTGAGGTCATTTTCAAGTTAAAAAATGGGGAGTACCAAAGTAACTACCTACAGATATTTACTGGAACTGGAAAATTTCGTTCGTTCTGTGCTGCGACTATCAGTTTGCAAGATTTTCGCATTTTTCTGGTTAAAAAACATCCACTTTTCATCATGATAAAAAATCAACCAGCACCAAAATTTTGAAATTTCAAAGTGATCCTAAGGGGCCGAGACCGGTATAACCGATTCAAATTTTGAAAAAAACCCTGCACAGATCAAGGGGCTTAGTGACTCTTGGTAGATTTTCATCAATAACAGTTTGAAATTAAGTTTATCATTAGCACAAAGCCAAACAATTAGCTTCTTCTAACGAGCAGAAGCCGACGAGATATTCGCGATTGAACGCGGACTAATTCGTATCATATCACAGCATGACGGAGGACTTACGAATCCCCTCTCCTTTGATTGTTTGGCGTTTTTGGTCAGACCTCACTCACAGTTTGGTACTTATACGCTCAGCCGGTGCAAAGACCGTATGCCATCCGTCTTCCTGCATCTGCTGATCCTGTTTCAGCAACTCTTTAGCCATTTCAGAGGAGAGTTGCGAGAGATAAGAGGGCTCTATATATCACTGCTTATTCCAGCTAGCCCGAGCAGCTACCTAAAGGAGAAAGGGAGTTTCCCGACTGAAGTATGAAGTGTTCAAGCAAAAGAAAAGGCAACGAGGAGCATCCATTTGTCTCCGTTGCACAGAAAATGGCCCGTGTTTAACAGCGAATATCTCCGCTTCCACTTGTTTGAATGCGCTAATTTTTTAGCTTTGTGCTGATTATGAACTTGAAGTCAATCGATTACAGTTTCATCAAAATCTACCGAGAGCCACTGAACCCCTCTGTTCTGTGCTGGGCTCTATAGGTGCTGGTCGCACTAACTTTTGGGGAGTCTTCTGAACCTTTAAAGGGGTACTTTACTATGATGAGAAAGAGCGACGCCAAGAATGGCACAATTTGGGCCAGAAGGGATTTTTCTGAAACCGGGCCCAAACGATACCTTATGATACCCTAAAACTCTGGTAAAAATTTTAGCTTGAGTATACGCACCGTTTTTGAGAAATGGGGAGGCAAAGTTGCCAAATCGCCATCATTCTGGACAGCATTTTTACAACAAAAAGACGGGAAAAATGGACGAAAAAGTTACACCATTTATGGGTTTGGGCTGTAAATGTTCTTATTGAGCCCCCGTGCATGTGACTGTCTTCAGTTTCAAAAATTTTGGACGTACAGTGGTCTAAAATGGGGAGAAATCGTGGACAGATAAGGATTCTTTGTCAAACTTTTTTAAAAATGGAAGTAAAATTGTTGGTCTCCTGCAGAGATCATGGGGAACAATGTTCTTATCGGTCTTCAATGCATTCAATTGGGTTCAGTTTATCAAATTTTCATCGCACAAAAATGGGAAATTAGTGGACAAATTAAGATCTTCTGCCTAACTTTTTAAAAATGATGTACGACTATTGGTTCCCAGTAGACTTTAGATCCCAGAAAAATTCTTTAAATTCTTTTTTATCTTTTTTAAATTTTTTCTCTCCATTTTTCTTTCTTTTTTTTAAATTTCTGAAAGTTTGCATATTTTATTGAAATAATGCTACAAAGTCTATTCTATAACAACGTTCTATAAACAATACGGTCTGACATATATAAATAAATAAAAAAAATAAAAAAATGAATTTTTCCGGGATTTAAACTCTACTGGGGACCAACAGTTTGACAGAGGATCTTAATTTGTCCACTAATTCCCCCATTTTTGACCACTGTGCGATGTACATTTGTGAAGCTGAACACATTTTCATGCATTGAGGACCAATAAGAACATTGTTAGCCATGAAAACTGCAGCAGACCGACAATTTTACTTCCATTTATAAAAATTTGACAAAGAATCCTGATTTGTCGACGATTTCTCCCCATTTTGGACCACTGGGCGACCAAAATTTTTGAAACTGACCACAGTGAAATGCTTGGGGGCTCAATGAGAACATTTAAAGCCGAAACTCATCAAAGATTTGACTTTTTCGTCCATTTTCCCCGTCTTTTTGCTGTAGAAATGCTGTCCAGAATGATGGCGATTTGGCAACTTTGCCCCCTCATTTCTCAAAAACCGGGCGTATACTCAAGATAAAATTTTTACCAGAGTTTTAGGGTATCATAAGGTATCGTTTGGGCCTGGTTTTAGAAAAATCCCCGCTGGCCCAAATTGTGCCAAAAAACGGTCGTTTTTGGCGTCGCTCTTTGGTAGAAAACTTGAAGACAGCAAGCTTGGGTGAGTATTATTACTAACCGATTACTACAAAATAATGAGAATCAGCGTGGTGCATCTTTAGCATTAACCCTAGCAAGATGTTAAAATTTGTGGCATCAAAGAGCCGTTAGAGAAAGTAATACCAATACTAAAAGCTCCCTAATTTTTCTTTTTTTGTCATAGTCAAATTTAGAGATGTATGAGACAGATTTTAATTATTTTTCAGCAGGTAATAATTCCCACATTGACCAGCGATCTCCAAGTTTTCAAAACATTACTGTGCATTTCATTTCTCCGAAATCACCGCTGCAGTCGACTGCATGGGTGCCAAAAGGATATAACCTATTTCCTTTCATTTGCGAAAGCTGAAAAAAAAACCAGAGAGAATGGTAAAACAAATCTGTGACGGTCTTGAAAATTTTATTTTCCACTCAGAAATACTCACATGAGTGATGCAACTAGAATTTTATTGTTAAAGCTTGTTTATACAGAGACATTGCGGTTCAACAATAACGATTTGTTTAAGAATACATTTAAGAGGAGTAGAAGGAGGAAACGGACTATTTCAAGCTGATAAGATGATGCCTAAGTATAAAAATAAAAACTTTACACGTATTCCTATCTACACTTACCAACTCAGTACCTCACATTAATATGTCACCTTAAACCTAAATGTACATTTAACGCTCTTTGTCGTTAGTCTATCACTCACATTGATATTATTTTTGGGGATTTTCAAGTGCTCCGACAGTGATTAGTCCAAGACACAGATTAAATAAGTGATAACCTGATAGACAAATATTTCAGTGGGATATCCTAGTGCCTTTATTTCTTGTCTTCGTTGACATAGAACTGAAGGGGAAATGAGGACATAAAAAAACCTGTTGAGTTGTTGATTTTTTTAAGTTACTTCGATTTAAAAAAAATTATTTTCCTTTTTCATTTGATTAATCTGTACATCAATATGGTTAAGCTAACTTAGCGATGCAACTATCCATTTGATCATTTTTCAGCCTTCAGCAGCCCAACCACAGACTTCTCACCTCTATGGACCTTGACGGGACACAACTCATTATTTGGAATCCTATGGAATGGAGCTCCCGTTTCATCAAGGTCAGTGCATGTGAAAGTCTCTGGTTAGACTGCAGGTCTGTCAATGCGTGAGACAACGTTAAAGCAAATTTTCCCCATCAAACATGATTCACTTTGACATCATGTTAAATTTTTTCCGTGATTTAATTTAAAGTTGAATTAACATATTTCTTAAGAGCCCAAGCGGAGAGAGAAAAACAGGTATAACTGTGCTGTTCGGCGTGCGTTCAATTTTTTGAGCCCAAAAACTTGTATGCAATCAAAGTATACCTACTGAAACTGGGCTTAATGGTTGAACGAACGTCGAATAGCATACTTTTTACCGATGTTCTCCAGACTTGAATTTAAGCCCTCCAGAGAGATATTCGTTAATGGAGATGTTGCATGTGTGAGGAATTTGCGATCTGACCATTGATTCTTATGTAAAAGTTTGCAAGAAATACAATGGTGCCACTGGTTTTCTTTGAAATCAACACCCAAGCCCAAAAAAAGCTCTTAAGTTGAGGCCAAAATGGAGGGGATATCCCACCCTACTCTGGGAGTCCACGTCTACATCAAGGCAAACTCTCCATGCGAAGATAGGGAGCAAATACATTAGCAGGGATGCCGTGTTTTCAGTTTAAGAGTCCTCAAATAAAATGGCAGCCCTGTCAATGTATTTGCTCCGTATCTTTGCATGGAGAGAAGTTGGAATAGTGCAGACGTGGACTCTCAGGATAGCGTGGGATATCCCCTCCATTTTGGCCTCAACTTGAGAGCTTTTTTTGAGCTTGGGAGTTGATTTCAGAGATAACCAGTGGCATCATCGTGTTTCTTGCAAACTTTTACGTAAAAATCAATAGTCAAAACCCAAACTCCTCACACATGCAACATCTTCATCGTTGAATTTCAATGATTGAGAGCTTTGGATTCACGTACGATGCTATTTTCAAAAACTGAATTTTAGCAACCAAGAGTGTTGAAAGTTAAAAGATTTCTCCCTGAAAGGAATCCTGTTCAATATATCATTAGTGTGCAATTCTCTGGATTAAAGTTACTTACAATACAAATTAAGTGCATATTGCATATTTATAAATAAACATGGACCCGTTCAGTAACAGTAATTCAACACCAGGTGAGATGCGCAGCTAATTAGTTCCCACCTATTTTCCCCGAATCAAATAATTCAATTTCATTTTTTTCCACAATTCGTTTGATTTTTTCATTGGTTGCATTATCTATCGAAAAGTTAAACATATTGGATCATAACAATTTGCAGGATGATCTTTGCATTTCATCGATATCACCTTCCGAAGAGAACAACTGCAATCCAAAGGTGAAATTGATAGCATGTTGCATCACCAAATGTTACCAACGCAGAGGTTAATAGTGTCTCTTATGTAAAAAAGGGAACTTCAATGTTGCGTACTAAAAAGAGAGGCTAAACTACTAGTAAAGACAATAATTGACAGGACAAAATTTGAAAAGATGTATAAATCTGAGATAGAAGAAGGGACGCTATACTTTTGCCAGGATCACTCCCTTTCTTGTCAAATGAATGGAAATATTACATGCAGCATGGATTTTCAATTTAACCATGTATTCTGACGCAAAATTTTGCAAGCAACGTGAATTTTATTAAAACTAGTTTCTTCTAAAATTAACTCCAAAGCTAAAAAAACCCAACAAAAAGTTGAATTTATAATGAAGGCAATAGCAGTAAAGAGGGTCCACGTCTGCATTCAACTACTCTCCACACAGAAACAGGGCTGAATACATTAGCAGCATTACCTTGACTGTGGCTATAGATTACAATCTGAGACTTTACAGTCGCCGAGCAGAGAGACAATCCTGCTAATGTATTCAACTCTGAGTCTCTATGCAAAGTGATTGAATACAGAGATGGACCCTCCCCCTCTGCTATCGCGTCCATTACAGCTTCAACTCTGCGAGCTTCTTTTGAGCTCAGAAGTTAACTTTACAGAAAACTAGAGGCATCGTCGTAATATTTGGAGTATTTTACATGGGAATCAATGGGTAGATCAAGAGTCCCGCATCTTCAATGTGAGAAAACATCATGAATACAACAACCAAAAAAAAGAAAACATGTTCACTCTAAAAATCAATTCTGTGGTATAGAGATGAGTTTACGAAAAGTTGAAAAAATTGTTTAAATTATTCTGCCTAGGCAGAGAATGATTTGTGTGAAAACATTATTTGAAAATTACATACGAAAGTGTGAGAAGGTTACTTCAAGTACAGACGATATCGAAAGCACCGAGCATTTGAATTATAGTCTATTAGGAATGCTGCTTACCACATTTGATAGATTGAAGAGGGAACACTTACACTATTACTCTCATGAAACATCATTTATAAGTAAAGAAACATCGACAATGTTAGACATTAAACAAGGATTAATTTTTTAAAGGAAGATACATGAATTCATTAAAAAAGGAACTGTTTGCTGAATAAACATAATTAAGGATGCAAAGGAACCGAAAACAGAAGGCAGCAAATAAACGTTGACAATCAAGTGATGAGAAACAGCAAAACTTTATCGGCTCCTACTATTTTACGAACGAAAAACATTGTACTATATTATTACTGATGATAAATGTCTAAATCCTAAGCTAAATTCCATATCACTTCAGTCGAATACAAAGTAGATTTAACAAGATTATGGGTCGAAAAAAAGCCTGCCTCAGGTCTCCGAATCAAGCTAACTAATTTATGGTACAGTAACTTGACAGTAGAGACCTTTTAATCAGAAAAACTTACAAAAAAATGAGAGAAATATGACTGTCCACAGGAAAATGGACCTCAGTTCACGAACAGTCAAAATTGAGTTAGTAATGCTACAGCACAAAGGAGCTTCCTATCGAAAGTNGGGGGGGGGGGGGGATGCTAAAGGTAATTTAAAAACTAGAATTATGATGTTTTTCGGTTTGGACGACGGCAAATGTAAATTCAAGAGAAGCACTTGAAAATTCTAATCTACCATGTTGGGAATTGGAGCTTGGTCAGTAATTTTTAATGCAGAGTGCATTTAGTTCACAGATATTTTCAGTGATTTTTGTAATGATATTAACCCATTAAAAACAAGTTATAAGTTGTGAATTTTACATTCCAATTTAATCTCGCATTTCTGACGAAGCTGAGATAGCCTCCAGAAGTATTCATCCTGTAGTGGCCATGCTTTTGACTGTACGCTAACACTGCCACGGTCCAATCAGTCCGTGGTCAGATTGGTCTGCGCAGCCCTCAGAAAATCCCAGATCGGACATCATTTTGCGAGTAGGAACTAAAATTTCTGGCTCATCCGTAAAAACACTTATGCTCATACGGAAACGAATGGCGCTTATGTTGTTTCTAAACTGAGCCAGAAATTGTAGTTCCGAATTGCAAAATGTATCGCAACTAGGTGATCATGGTTCCTGACAGGAGCACTTTGCGGCCAGAAGTGGAAAGATATTTTCAGACCCCGTCTCTAGTTTTTTGAAAATACGTGTTTGAACTGGAGCGTGGACTGAGGCCCTTTCTTCTGTTGAGAGTCGCAAATAATGATCATGAAACTTGCAAAATCAATTCAGTTCAAGTGACCCAGAAAAAAAGAGAAAAACACGAAGGAAAAAAATCAAACACAACACTGGCGGAAAGAGTTACGCTTTAAAATGTATGCTAAAGTCACAGAATCAGGATAGTTGAGGCTTATTAATCAGTCGGAAATGATAAGATTTGTCAGAATGCTAAAATCCTTAGTCGCATTTCAACAGAAATATACTTATTTGAAAAAATATGAGAGATGTCATCCTTTGTACTTTCCAAATATCTGTTAATATGAACATGAGAACTTAGCAATATGTCAGACAGTACCATTTTTGCTATTCTGTAAAATGCAGCTACCAAAATACGATTTGGGCGACAATTCATTGATAGGCATCATGCAGCGTTAATAAACGTTCTGAGCTCAGTTTAAAACTTATTCAAATTTCACCCAAAATTACCAAAAAACCCAATCAAAATTCTGATAAACTTCCTGCAATCTGTCAGTTTTTCTGATTGTTTTAAATAAGCGGGTGGACAATAAAAAAAGACCCATCTACATCTATCACATAAAAATTTTGAAATTAAGAAATTAACCTAAAGTTCAATTTTAAGTAACCGCTCAGATGCAGATACAAACTTAAATTTTACAAATCAAACTAGCGTTTTATAGCAATGACTTTGGTCTAAACACACTTGCTCACATTCAAGAAGTTGCTAATTCATTCCCTCCACTTATTTTATAACAAGAAAACCACATATTTTTTCGAAACTTTCTTGAAAATACCCACTGCCTAAGTTCTTGATACATCATGCAGATGATCAAATATAATTGGATGAAAAAATGCTTGAATTTTTTTTCTGCTGTTTTTCTTATAAATATGAGCTACTTTTTGTTTCATTTCCAAATTAGGTGATTAGCCTTTGTTATTGTACAAGTAATATTTCACACTGTCATCCTTTTGATAATGCTCTGAAGTTTCAGCTTTTTAAGAATTTGTCACAAGGTAGAAAGAGCTGCATAAATATAAATTCAGAAAACATCAAGAGGTGCTGTTTGGGTCTCTGAGAAAACGTTCATACCTAATTCTTAAGAGCTATAAAACCTAGGGGTTTGGACGATTGTGCACCAGGATTGAGTAAAGATAAATCAAAATGAAAAGAAATAAAAAATGCACACCTAGAAATATGGAAAATTGATCTTTCAAATCCATGGTCTGAGTGGGAGGGATAGGCTCGAACAGCATGTAGGAGTCGACTTTGAAGGCCAAATGTTGTAATTTTGTGTTTATCGATTGGACAAGATAAGACACGGATGGAACAGAGGAATGTGATCATTGAAAGTGTTGGTTCAACATTATGGTAGTAGCACTTGATGTAAATTATTGCTTTATTGGGTAGCCAGCGCTAAGAATTAAAATGACAAAAATTAATAAACTACGTTTATACTAATATTACTCAGAGTAAGTTACGTACAGTATTAAATCGTTTTTCTCTGTAAAGTCCTGACGATGGCCAAGGCCAAAAAGCTTTGACAACCTTAAATAAATGCATTTATTTTAATGTGAGTTAAAAACTTCATTTTAATGCATAGCACTGGCTACCCAATAAAACAACAATGGATAAGATTTGTTGGTAACATTTTATCCGCCACATTTTTGGCTTTTTATTGGGTCAGCTAATCGATATGCTAGAGGCACCTCCTCAGACTGAGAACCAGTTGACTATTCAGCCCTATAAAAAACCAACAATGAGACGTCAGCAATGCAACTGACCGATTACATAAATCCATTTCATCATAGTCTCATCTTGTGTTCATTTACCGAGCAAAGAATTTTAAAAGTCAGTCTGCTTGTCAACTACTTGAGTTTAAACATTTTGTCTCAATGCCTTGACAACGAGAGCAGAGATTTCAGAAAACTAAATGTTCAAAATTTTTGTTTCAACGATCAAAGAAACTCAAAGGAAAAGGAAAAATTTAGGGCGGAGAAAAACTCGCATCTTTTCCTAAAATTTCTTGACCTTAACAGAGAATCCCTAATTTTTGGCGATGTAATACTTAGTTGAAAAAAGAGACCTTCTGTTCTGTTACTCTCTTCTGTAGTAAAGCTTCACACACAGATTATTGTCTAAACTATGCCTACAGATTTTCAGTTTTAAACGGTGGTTGAAATTATATTTAAATGGAAGTTAAAATGAATGGAAAAAACGAAATGATTTACAATTATCTTCGTAAACAGCAGCTCTGGGTAGGGACATCCATTTCTGAATTTTTCACTTAGCTTGAGGACGATACAGTCACAAAGAACATTTTCAAAAGCTAAAACGACTCATTCAAACAACTCGAAAGACTTGAAACTTCATTAAGGTACTCATTTCATACACTTATTTCGATTTCTAGTGATTTTTTTGGGTGCTGTGGTATTTTAGAGATTGGTAAATTGAGTTTCACGAACTGATTGAAAAATCTTATGAAAAAAGGCAAACTCTCAAAAAATCGTTTTCAAATATTCTTGGCAAATTTGCCTTATTTGTTGAGTTGATGAAGGAGCATAACCGCTTGAAAATTTGATTCACAAGTAATTGAGACTTAAGAAGACACTAACAACAGAGGGTTGGTTATTGAACATGGAACAAAAACTTGTTGAGCAACCCCAATCGTTAGATTAATCGTAAAATTGATTCAGGTCATTCAATTGAGGAGCTTCGAAGTTTCATTTATCAACTTGTGCACATAAAACAAACTATTTCCGTGAAATAACGCTTCCATATTGCCTTGAGAGGCATCTTAAGATAGAATCTTACAAGCAAGAAAGGGAGAGCCTCTGAATTTCCAACAGAGAGATTTTCAGCAAAAAAACGATGAACATTTTCATAAGTTCGACAGAAAGTAAGCACCGTCAAATGCTTAAAACTACCCTTTTTCTAAGCACACACAAAATGAAATACATGAAGACAATAAGAGTTAGATTAAGTTACAGTTTCTGAGGATTGCTATTGGTTAGAGCGACAGTGCTGGTTGCGTAACCGTTGGGGTACCCTGTGAACAGCGGTAAGTTCAAGTCTTCTGGAATGGCAGGTGAGTGCAGGTTGTCGTAGATCCCGATGTTGCTACGAGTCATCCGCTCCAGACATCGCACATCTTTGTCTACTTGTTCGAGGGCTCTTTCTAGTTCCTCTGTTTCTTCCCGTGTGGGAACGTATTGACCATTTTTGTCTGAAAAAGAAAATTGGAAGTTATTTTAGGGAAAAAAGATTAAAGGTATACAGTGATGTTCGTCTATAAGCAATCTTTTGATTTATAACTTTCTGATTTGGATTCACTACTTTTATATTCAAGCTATCAACTGCTTAAAACACGAGACAAACTTGCAATAAAAGTGCTTGATAAAACTGTAACAAGAGCAAGTTAGCAAAGGTCTTGGCCTTAATTGCAGGTTCATCGTGCAAAAATAGGCATATGCAAAGTAAAGTAAACTCTTCATGCAGATCATAAATTTGAAAATTGTTTCACCCCCCCCCCCCAAAAAAAAAAAACTCTTTAATTTTAGTAAATTGATCATCAATAGAAGATGGTTTGTGCTGCCTTAAAAATAAAAAATTAGGTATTTTCAAGCACTTTTTGAAGAATTTTCGAGGTTTCTCCAAGACTTTTTTAAAATTATTTTCCTACAAAGAGTTTTTTCCTTCTTTCTTCTCATATCACGAGTCAGTGTAAGCAGTTTTTGGTTCTCTTTAAGAAAATGAGTGATTTCTTTCCTAGGTAGAATGTCTTTCATAAGAATCCATTCAATGTCAAATGTTTTGTTACATCTTAAAATCCAGGATTTAATGCTGAAAATTACGTGTAAAGAGTCGAGTTCAAGCAATTTTCAAGCGCCGTAAAAAAATGAAGCATCTCACGGCTTTGAATGACAATTTCAAAAACAAGGTTTTTTGCGGGCTGCTTGAATCATGTAAAAGAAATACATAAACACTAAGATGGAACCCTAAACTCATTACTGTAAAGTTTACAGATTTACCTTTATCCAGGTACTCGGTTACTACAGTACCAGTACAGGTTACTCCATGTTATCAGAGAAAAAGGTGGAATTAATTTTGATTCTGAGTTTCTTGCGGTAGTACAGGAAATATACAAGTATTTTGATAAGGATTAAAAAACGTAATACATTCTCTTCAGGACTGCACCCTTAAGAATTTTTAAGCTTGATTAAAAGATTACGGTTGAAAAATTAACTGCAATTATGAATAAAATTAGATGAAAAATGAGAAAAAGGAAAATGAAAAGAAAAATCTGCAAAATTACCTCATCGTCATTTTCTTGTAGCGTGAGTAATTAAAATGGCATTGAAAGATGAAACTTTCTAGAAGAGTTTTCTGGAGATTTTGGAAGCTGATAATTTAATTTTTGTTCCTTTGATTTATTTATTTTTATAAAGGATGACTCAATTTCTTTTCATCCAAAAGATCAGTACCTCTCAAAACAAACTAGACTTTTTTCAGCTTTAAGGTTTAGAAGAAGAAGAAGAGAGAAGAGAAGAATAGAAAATTGAAGATTTTTAAAATGGGATGAACATAGAACCTAACCTAACTAACGTATACACATGACACACAAAAAATCAGAGCAGGTATTGGTTAACTTCACATAATTTGTGCCAAAACATGTCACTAACAATTTTTCATTTTTTACCTAACTGCGTGTATACCCTTACATTCTTTCTTTTCGGCTTGTTTATTTAATTTTATTAATTTAATTATACTTTCTTTTTCTTTCTTCCTTACTGGCCAATAAACTATTCACACTCCAAATGCCAAATAGTGAGAGCGTTTATTCTGCATTATGCTGGATGGACTGTTACTGCTAGGTGCTGTTGGTTTTTTTGATCCGCCTCGATGAGAATTCAGCGAACGGACAGTTGAATTGATCATGAAAGTATACTGTTTGGTTGTTTGCAATCAAAATGGATCAATCTGCATGCGTACGCAAAGTGGTGAAGAGTAGCATGTTTCAGTTCTTTCGATGTGACACTTGCAAATGTGGCACTTACACATTTGGTTCCTTGTCCTGAGTGATGGAATACGCAAGTGTGAAGGCGGCTTTTAACAACTTACTATCCTTTTCGAAAAATATAAGTTATCAACATCAAAATGTAGATTACGCATGATCCATCTACACTTCTGGACTATCAACAAGTTAAGTTCATTTTTTCACTGTTGGAGGTTAGAAATGCACCACCCTCTCAGTGCTCGGATATCAGACACATTTCAGGAATTTCATATGCAATTAATTTTGATATTCCATTACAATTATGTACACTAAAAGAAAAAATTAATCATAATTTTGATTAAAATTTGATGAACCGCACAGCTCTAATTTTCTTCTTTTGTGGCCCCCTCTCCCCAATCATAAATGATACCCAGTTCCATGAATGTTTGGACATTTCCTGATTTTGTGAGATATCAAAGTACACATGATTTGATCAATCCATGAGCAACTCAAAAACATTCTCAGCTGAAAATAGAGGTAGAAACTCATTCTCACCTGAACCTGAAAATAAAGATAGGAACTCATTCTCACCTGAAAATAGAGATGGGAACTCATACTCACCTGAAAATAGAGATAGGAACTTAAGAGTGGGACGAAAGATTGGACTGGGTTGGTAAAAGATGAGGTCAAGAAGGAAAGTGCCCGGAAGTAGGGAGGAACCAAGAGCTATATTGGCATGTTCTGGAGGATAAGAGGACCGCTAGAGCAAAGGAGCGAGCGGTATTCGCTGAAAAGATTCTCACCTGAAAAAAGATCATTAAAAGCGTCTGCTGGCAGCTGATTCAGAACCGTCGTAAGATCCTCATGGTCGTCCAGTATCCGAGAGTTTACAAGTTCTTCCGTTACTTCAGCTGAAAAAGAAAATGGTTGATACAAGAGTTGTAGGCAATCTTTTAGAAAGGAGATATTGATAGGAAAAGAAAAAAGAACTAATTCTGATCAGGGTCGTGTAGTCACAGCAAAACAGAATTCAAGGATTTGCACGTACTTTTACACCATTTTGCCATCATGAATGACAGAGATTCTTACAGTGTTTCCACTGCAGTTTTGCACAGCCTCACAACCTCAGGAGAGAGTATTTCATTAGTACTTAATTATCTACATTAGTGAAAGATACATCATCCTTGTGTCAGGTAGAAAAACTGTGGAACCTAAAAAGAAGAAGATAAGGAGACAATGAACAATGAACTGCTGGACAGGTATGAAACTAAGCATCCCGATGTAGGTTCCCTTTTCAAAATGTGTTGGAGAACATGATTCTCGCAACAATAATTACTGAAACTGACTCCCAACCAAAATATTTGGCCTGGTCTACATAAGAACAGTTTGGCAAATTAGTTCCATGAAGTAATGGTTTGAGGAACAAGTTATAATTAAGTTATAACAAGTTCGCCTGAGGTTCCACAAACCGCATTTGTGTGGACAAGGCCTTAAACTTTTTGTTTAGCACTGGTTGCGAGAAATTTGAATTCCCCACTTACATGAAAAACCAGAGTCTACTTGAATCAAATTGTGCACTATATCGGTTTTGTCATCAAGCTGAGTTCCTTTCCTACCCTATGTTGTTCAATGTTTTGATGACGTCCAAAAGCCGAGCCAAAGCGTTGAGCTTGAGAATGTCATATTTGCATACTGCAAAGACTGTTATGGTACTAATTAAGTAAGGAATTCAACTCAATTACATAATGCTTTTCTTTTAACTGGGAAATTTAAATTAATGAATCGAATGACATTCATATCTTTGTCAGGAGTTTACTTGCAGTAGTTTTTTTTTACTTGCAGTAGTTTTTTTTTTACTTGCAGTAATTTTTGTTGTATAAACCAAGTTCAACTGGAAATGATGATGAGAAAAGATACATCATAATGCTCATATTCACACATTGTCTAGCAGTGCATTGAACCGACCTTCACGGAAAGCACCAAGTCACATTTGCAAAAAAATGAATTAGGAATAGTTTTAAATTCAACTAGTCGTAAATTTTCTCCTGTCAAAAATTCAAAAAGAAAAAAATATTTTGGACAAGAAAACAGACCTTAAACTGTGTTCTCAACATTTTGTCTACAAAACTTTGAAGCTCTTTTTCTCTGTTCAAATTTGATGCAGCATGTTGCGTTTCTATGAAACTCAGTCCAATGGGTCAGTTGGGCTGGTCACAGAATTGTGTTTTGATGCTTGATTTTTGTAGATTCGCTAAAAATAATAAGATCCGTCAAAACGACAACTTCCTATGTTCAATATTAGCCGAGATGTTGCGTTTTAAAACATTCGGATAATGATGTCATCCACCGCGATAGTGACACCCTCCGTTTCTTCCACCTTGCTTTCGTACAAGTCTCTTGTTGAGTGACTAGTGCAAATGGGTGTCTCCCTGATTGATGAAAGCAAGGTGGAAGAGACCAAGGGTGTCACTACTGCGGTGTATGACATAAAAACCGAATTTATCAAGGAGCGATATCTCTCTTAATATTGAACGTAGGAAATTGCTGTTTGGATGGATCTCATTACCTACACTATGAACTCTCAAGCCTCCTAAATTTTCATTTCCGGTAAAGCTTGGTTCTGGCGCTCTACTGGGCCGATTTGTAAGATTTTTGCAGTTATCGACAGGCAATTGTCTCTAGTTTCAGATTTTGAAAATATGACCCATGTTTTTTTATATCACGCGGTAAAGTTGTGCAATCCCCTATTTAAACAATGTAAATTTTTACTTTTTACCACAGTTTGTTTGAGCCTTCTACTAGGCCAATTTTCATGATTTTTGCGGTTATTGACAGGCGACAGTCCCTAAATGAGCCAGCTCTAATCAGATTTTGGAAATAGGACCCAGGATTTTTTATATAAGAGTACACCAGAGAGCTTAAAAAGTGGGGCAAAATTTGAACTAAGCGGGAAATGTTGAATTTTAGTCTGTTAATAGGGTAAGGAAAGTGAACCCACAGTATGCTCCTTTGCTACAGACTATCCAGAAGCGATGAAACGCTCCGCTTCGTTCGTTCTGTTTTGTTTCAGTCTTGGCAAGAAGTTTGAAACAAATGCCAATTTTTTTCTTCGCTTCTTATTAGTCCGATTGCTCCTGGACAGAGAGAGATTGGACAAATGAGAGTTGGGTATGAAAGTCTTTTTATTCCTTTTGGTCGTTCTTTTGTCAAAGCAAGCTTGAGAGAGCACGAAGCACCTTCTGGGGGTTGGGCCGCATAGTTTTTAGTTAATGTACAATAATCAAGCGTCAAAACACGATTCTGTGACCAGCGCAACTGAGCCATTAAGATATTTGAAAAAAAAGGTAACAAAGAGATAAAATTACCTTCCAACTGAACCATTTCACAATGCGAGCTGACATTGCTGTCGAGGTCCGAACTGTGAACAGGCACGGACGCATCGGTGAGGAATACTTCCTCCCCGTGCCTCATGATCATCGCTGACGCAGCGTTGATGACACTTGGGACTTGCGTCATGGGGGTGAAGCTCTCTGGTATATCTGAGGTTGAGGTAGAGGAGTTGGTATCCGATGAGAAAATTTTCCTCCTCTTCTTCCCCCGATGCCGCGACATCAGTGGTTTAGATTTCTTCTTCGATTTTTTCACCTGGATGCTATGCATAATGGGAGGTTGATCCTGGTAAAATGCAAAATAGATAAGAAGTTACAATAATGAAAAAAATAATTATTTTGTCACTTTTTCATTTATATCAGGGCTCATATTTAATAATTTTCTGCAAATTTTACCTTTACTGTTTCGTGATCTTTTTTTCTATTTCTTTCTATGTAAATATAGTTTTTTTATTTTTCATTAATTAGATGATGGCCATTTCAGGAAAATTTCCCATTCAATTTGAGTGGTGAATCGTCTCTCATGATTACCCATCCGCGACCAAGGTGAGAGTAGTGCGTAATTAGTATTATTATTTACGTTTTAAATCAGTTTCATCACCAGACAAAACTCATTGCAGGAAAAACCAGGAGTGGAACTCAAGTATACAACCTAGAGAGTATGAGTAAGAAACCTAGCATAGGAGCGATCAAGAAGGATCTGAAGATGGAAAATTTTCCTGAAATGGCCATCGTCTAATTGAAGAAAAATAGAAAAACTAGAAGATCAGGAAACAGAGAAGGTGACATTTTCAGAAAATTTGTGAAAAAATAATTGGTTGACAGGAGAAATAATATGCTTGTTGTTATTCTACAAACATAGGGCATGTTTAAATTTCCATCAAAAGGTCCTGGAAGTTTGCTGCAAACCTCATGGAGAGGACAGTGGAAGACCTAGGTGTAAAAAGGACTTTTTCCTGTTACCGTGTCAGAATCTTCACAGTTTCTATCTTTGAGAGGAAATTACTGGATCATTAAATTTGAAATTTGTTTTTAGGGATATCATTACAGTAAGAAAAATATTCTGTTGAATTTCCATTTTTTTTTCAATGGAATTTTTCCCCTTCTCAAGTGTATACATGGATAGGTAAAGCTAAGCAAATAGTCACATCTCCATTTTCAAGATTTTTCAAAATCTCCTTTTGTATTTTAATTTTTTAAAAGGAAACCAACCATTTTCGCTTAACATGGTGTGGAAATAACTTTCGTAAAGGCAAGAAAAATTGCAACAATTTTTAAATGAGGATGTTGATTGGTTTCCTCTAGAAATAGTAAAATAGAAGATGAGATTTAGAATCACCAAAATATAAATGTGACTATTTTGCTTAGCTCTATTCAAAGGTAAATTGAAGTTCTGAAAAACTGAATCAAGAGGTGTCCTTTTTGCACCCACTTCTTAATCTTGGAAGAAAATAAAGTGCACTTCAAAGCCACAGAAAGAATTTGTCTCTCAAAGCTCTACCTCACCTGGTTTCCTGATTTATTTTATTCAAAATATGTGAAAGCGAGATCATCTGTTGAGTTTCGGCTATGTTGACAATGTGATTGTTGCATGGGTGGGGGATTTGAGAATAAAAAATAAGTTATCTTAGAACTTTTTGCAACAAGAGCTACGGTAACATTCAAAAACTCAAAAATCGAGTCCTAAAGCCCGAAAAAGCCTATCAAAGTTCTATCAAATTTAAGTTGGAAATAAACGATTTTCATTGGCTGCTGTACAGTTGCTCAAACTACGCGTCACAATGCATGGGAGTCTCTCCTCGCTGCCATTACTCACATCTTGATCGCTTGTTTATCTAGTGGAGGTTAGGTTACGTTAAGTTCATCTCGAGCTCCGATTGGCTACGATGATGACCAAACGCTGCCGTAAGAACCCGAGCAGGGCCGGCTCCTGCGCACCGCCCTCCGCTCACCACCGAACGGCTCCTTCCCTCCGTGAGGAAAATGGGGAAGGAGCGGTTTATAACTCACTTTTCGCCCCAGAAATTGTTGTGAAGTGCCAAAAACCTAATCTGAAAATGATTCATCTTAACTTCAGGTACAGTGTTCTGCCTTCCCCCTAAAATTTTAGGAGCCACCTAGGCCGGAAAGTCCAATTTTAAGGAGCCATCTACTAAATGTAGGAGCCAAATTAAATTTTTGCAGAGAGGCAATAGCGATGCTGCAAACGGTGAGTATAGAGAGCACTTTATTGCTACTGCTGCTTTCCGATTGTGGATTCAATCTGTCAAATTTGTTAGACACCAAGATGGCCCAGCCCCCCCCCCCCCATTTTTAGGCGCCAAGCCCCGATTTTGAGGCGCATTTGGCGCACGGCGTCTGGGGAAGGCAGAACACTGTTCAGGTATCCATCAAGATAAAAAAAGTAAATTTAGTCGGATGACTCGATTTTTCCTGATTTTTTTAAAAAACTCATAATAGCACGCAGTTTAGGTAACAAAAACCCGTGGCCGTGCGTTGTGATGTCAGAGTCATGTGATTTCGAGGCGCAGGAAGGAACCCTGTTTCAAATCGTTTCTGAACTTTCGGCGCTTTTTCTCCATGTTCCAATCATCAGAAAATTTTGAAAAAATACCTTAACAATCAGCACACCTCCAAGTTGTAGAAACTAAATTTAAAGAAATGCATGAAACAACCCCATTCAGGAGTCAAAAATAGGCTTTGAATGTTGTTACAAAAAAAAATCTCATGAAAATTTGCTTGAAATTGCCTGACGATATAGGATTTTTTACATCTTATTACAAACTAAAACGCCCTGATGTAGAGTCTCAATTCGTGAAAAACCATTTCTTTTTTTTGAACAGAGGTCATGTGATACCTGTACTGATGAAATCGATAGAAACATGGACTTCCGATTTCTAATGATTTAAACACAATACCGCTAACCTAAAAGAAAAGCATTAAGGCTGATCGATGAAAAACCATATGGTCTTACTTGCAGAATATTATAAAAAACTAAAATATATAATTTAAATTGTGTTCTCCATGTATTTATTTGGAGTATTAAAAACTGCAAATAAGTACAAGGGTGAACACCTCAGAGTATTCAGTAAAAACTGGAGATTCTTTCATCAATAGTTCATACTGAGAAATATTTAACTGGTTGGAATGCATCTATTACATCCAAGAGCAATCCAAATGCTTGACATTCTCAAAACAGAAACAATAATTAAGGATAACAACTTGCACAAGTTTCAAAAGAAACGAGAAATTTTCTTGTTGGCAATCTAATCTACTGTATCTCTCTGTGGATTCATGGAAAAGCAATGTGTGGTCACCATTAGAAAGTAACTGTAAAAACTGCAAAATTATGATTGAAACAGTAAACATTGTAAACGATTTATATACTTCGTAAACGGCCTGAATACAGTCCGCGGAAGAGAGGCTAATGAAGAAAAATAAATTAGTAAAATGTGTTAGTTGCAAGATTCTCGCGGAGGAGTCATTTGATACTTACTTGGATGTGTTTGGCATGCACGGGACACAAAGGAAATGTATTTTTGATATCGAATACAGGATTGTGACATTGAGTGTTGTCATTCAGCTTCCCTGAGCAGTGGGAGAAAAGCTGCTGATCTACGCTGTATAGAATGTGTTGCATACAATAACGCGCTCCAGGAATTGCTTTGCTTGAGCATGAGTCCAAGCAACAAATTCGTTTGACCGTCAAACAGCTTTTCGATCTGAAACCATTGAAGAAGACCATGAGAGCTTTTAAATCCTGATTCTTTCTCAAATTGGGAAAGTAAGGCTCTTACTTTCTGAAAGCTATTTGGCATGAGCAGGGTAATATGCCGATGACCAAAGTGCAAAATCACATATCTCCATTGCTGTACTTCAAAATTTCCGTTCTGATTTTATTTTCAAACAAGTCACCTTTATAGTTTGAAATTGATTCAAAATATTCTGTTAACAGAGAAGAAAATTTAGAGAAGTTTTTAAGAAATTTTTGACTAGTTTTCCGCAAAAAAATAAAACAAATGGAAGTCTGCAACGTTGCTAATGGACATACCTGGTTTTGCACTTTGGGCATCAATATATGAAAAATTCAAAAGACAACACACATGGGTTCTTGGAATTTTGGCCACAGTTAGTTGCTATTCGCTACTAAACCGTGATATGCAACCATAACTTCATGATAAAGGATGCTGTTTGGCCAAATTGAGCCGAATGGCACCAGTATGGGTTCTTTACATTTTAGTCACAGTTGATTACTGTATGCTAATAAACCTCGGCTAAATTATCAAAAATTCCATTTGGAAAAATTGGGCCAAAAGGCACCAATATCAGTACTTAAAAATATTACTTGGTTCCTATAAAGTTCTCCCTGTGGACTTGGCTTGAAAGTGTGAACACTTTTAGGACGCCTCTGGCGAAACCTAGAGTCTATTTGGGTTTGCTGCAAGACTAAAAAATAAATAAATAAAGTACATATGACTGGAAGTCTGCAATGTCGCAAACGAAGATACCTGGTTTCACACTTTGGCCATCAATATATAAAAAATTAGGAAGGCGACACACCAAGTTCATTCTGCAAAAAGTTGCGTTCAAAGGCAAAAATTATGTATAATATTGACCAAATCCACAGACAGTTACCAGACTTATGAGTCTTGATGATATTCAACAAATTAATAAAAGAGCATTGACTAAAAAGGAAGAAAAAAGAAAAAAAAAGGGAGAAATAATGGAAACATAGATCGTCCTAATTGCCATGTTTCAAAACTTCCGCTTTTCTTAATTTTGTAGGAAAACATTACCAGACAGCCCTCCCCCCCTCCCCCTTAATAAGTAGGTATTCATGAAAGGGCAAGGAAAAATCACACAACTGTGGTCAGTCACTCCTCAAAAATTTGCGAACCAGGGTATGCCATTTTCAAATTTAACTGTCGATATCCTTCTGGCCACTTTGAAGGGAATCAACCCTAAAAAACATGTCAGTCAAACTAGTTCTGAAAAAATGTAAGGGAGCACTGGAGTCTGCTTGCAATAATGACAATATCACAAACAGGGTGGCTAAAAGTTTAGAATCTTAAAATTCCCTGACCTTTTATGAGAAATTCCGTAACTTTTAAACTCGAGAAAAATTGCTATACACACTTGCTCACAAGGTAAAACAGCAGAAAAACCAAGGTTGGAAAATTCTAAGTCTTCACCTTCCCTTAATTGCACCAAACTTACACTTCCCATCTCTACTTGAAATAATTGAATCAGGGAAAACGAAAACACACCAACTCGGAAAAATGAAAGTGCTCAAGAGACCCAAATACGAGGGTACACCCAAAGTAAGTCTCCCTATTTTAAATATTATCTTGGATAGAGCAAATCTGTAGGTATTCTTTACAGGGTTGCCAGCCAAATTATTTTTTTCCATTCCCTGACTTTTCCCTGACTTTCCAATATTTTTCCCTGACTTTTAAGTATGGATCTGACGCAGTCTGTTAAAGTGAAAATGAGTCAGTTGATCCCGCAACGCGAGCCTGAGACCGCCCGCGCCTAATTCCACGAAAAATCGGAAAAATCCCTGACCAACACCAAAATTCCCTGACTTTCCCTGACTTCTCCCGGTTTATTTTTTTCCCCTGACTTTTCCCGGTTTTCCCGGTCGCTGGCAACCCTGTCTTTAACTATGATAATTTTTGAGAATCAAAATAGAGAGATTGACTTTCGGGTATAAACCTCGTAGCTCACTTAAAATGCGCCAGAGGGAATTACCGCAACCGCATTAGCAACACGAACAATGTAGTCAATCAAAATTCCCTGACTTTCTGTTAAATTTCCCCGACTTTCTCTGATTTTCCGCGGTCGTTACAAACTCCCTGACAATTCCTGGTTTTTCTGATATTCCAGGCTTTGGGTCACACTGCACAAATCATCATCATAGAATCGATAGAATCAAGAACACGTACCTGTCTTTTTTAGCGGAGGGGTTGTACTGAGGATTAAGAAGGAAAGCAGTTTGCGAGGGACAGACCCTGGCGGCATTAATTATAGAACTAACAAGAGGCGGCGGGCAACTATTCGAACTACTCAGTTTAATCAATGTCTGCTGGAGCTTTTTGCAGGTTTCGTTCTTGATTTGGGAAAGCCTAGTCTCCCGATCCACTGAAGGAAATGAGGGCAGCGAGCATTGCTCAACCAGGTTCTTAGCATCACAGATGATATCTGCTTCATCTTCTGAACTGGAGAATTCTGAAATGATAAGAAAAAGCAACTTAGAATTTTAGAGATTAAAATTGATCACTAGATATAGTAAGAATTAAACTTGCTCAAATTGCCTTCCCTCATCAAAATTTCACACTTTAATACACACAAAAACGCTACTTATTTATTTGTGAATTGAATTTGAAGATGTTTCCTGTGTTGACCGTAGTCTAAGTAAAAATCTGATGAGGAGACATGTATCGTGATCAACAATTTTGTACCCTGCCTAGTGGCCAACTGTCTCATAGTGGATTATATGAACTTTCTAAGAGAAGGCTTTTTTATGCTACCTCTTGCTGGTATAATTAATAAAAAGTTGAACTATGAAACTAGTATTTCTTTCTTCCTTTCATAACTTAATTCTGAAAAGAAACTATTCAAAAAACAAGAACAACAGTAAACCTGACTAAAAGATAAATTTCAGGTACACATAATTCTTCTTCACTTTAAGCTGAAGGCATGTGATATCAAAACATTCCTGATCTTACAATTAATTCAATTGACCATCTCGACACTTTTAACGAGCGTATGGATCATTTTGGAAACTGAAATGAAATAAAACTCTCAGAGAAAAGCCACCAAAACAGAGACTGAAAAACTGCTTTTAAGGAATGTATTACTCGCAAAAAGTAATGCAACTACTTACAGACTGCAAAAAAAAAAAAGAAGAAAAAAGATGTCTGACTGTGAGCTTTTTAACTTTCTGCATATTAGTATCAATATTCATATACAGCAGGTTACAAAACAGATTGCGGTAGATTAAGGGAAGAGTAGGCATATTTGAACAGCATGCAGCAGTGGGGAATCAACGCGAATACAGCGTTATAAAAATGGTGCATTCTTATCATAGAGCGCGATTGAGTCAAGCGTACTGGAGCGCAAATGAAGTCACTTTTTGAGACTGTTTTGCCCAGTGCTCCCAAAACTAGTGTGCAGTGACTAGCAATGCCGTATGCGCAGAGTCCGAGCTTCAGACTCCCTTCAGAAAATATAGGTTTCTATAAAATTTATTTCATGAAGACCAGGAGCTTCGTACATTTCTGAATTTTTCACGACCTTGGTCAAAATAATTTGCCAAAATTCGCAAAAATAGTTATCGGATCCTGAATACCGCTCACAGTCCAAGATTCTCCCACAAGCCGCCATGTTAAAAAATGCCATTTAGTTCACACTTGGTTCATACTTTCCGGCAAACAAGGGGCTCGGAAAGAGCCGTTCATAGATTGACTTCATTGGTGCCCCAGTATATTGCAACTCTATTGTACTCTATGATTTTTATCTTAACCACTAACATGCCTTGAAAAACAAATAGTGTTTGTTTTTCTGCCAAAAACCTGTTAATTTTAAAGAAAAACGATTGCGCACATTTTATTACTGTGCATTGTATTTTTCAAGGTAAAGAAGAAGTTGCACGATTTTAACGGCACTGTGATCTGATTCCCTTTTGCTAAATGTGATGCATTTGTCATGTACTTTGAGCAAAGAGTCTGATAGCACAAATGTAATTCTTTGCATTTAGAGGAAAAGAATAAAATTTCAAAAGAGCTTCAGAAATTTTACAGGAATGGAAATGCTTTGCCAAAATACTTACTATTTCTATCATATTAGGTAAGAACTATTTGTTATTTAGATTGCATTTAGCAAAAGGGAACCAGCGCGATTACAATCAGCACCTTCATCTTCATCTAAAAAATTTCCCACAATAGCAAATAGTTTTTGCTTTTCCACCAAACAATTTTTCAATTTTAAAGGAAAATGATTGTATGAATTTTAATACTGTGCGTACATTTGGTATTTTTCAAAGAAAAAAGAAGTTGCACGATTTTGAAAACACTGTAATTGCGCTGGTTCCTTTTTGCTAAATACAATCCATTTCACTTGGTTTTACTTTACACTATCATTTAATTTTGACTATCCTGACAAAAACTGTTCATTCTTGTCTTTATTTCCCTTACTTTTCCTTGTCCCTGCAGTTTTTTCTGTGTGAATTCACTCGTATTTATTTCTAGATTACGCTTTGCATCTTGTCTGTCTATCCACTCTGATACACACGTGCTCCACCTTTCATCGTTCATTTGCCTCTTTATTGGCCTCACTTTCCCTTGTTCTTACAATTTTATACTAGGCCAAGGTCACCAAAAATTGTGGGAACAAAGAAAAGTGAGGGAAATAAAGGGAAGAATGAACTGACGAAAGAAGGAGGATGTGCAGGTAAATCCGATTAAGACAGACCGGAGATAGAGTGAAACCCGGGAGACACACAATACGAGGAAAATCATACCTAAGGAATAATTGTATGAAATTTTCCATGTTTGTCAGTAAGCAAGAAAAAAACACTGCATGGATATAAGGAAGAAAGACATAGAACAGAGAGGCAACATACCTAATGGAAATAAGTCAGATTGCAGTTGAGATTCCTGTTTCAGGAGATCCTGTATTCTCTGGAGAGCCTCGTGCTTCGTACCATTATCCTTCCTCCAGCTACTCAGCTTCCTCTTGGGTCGAAGAGCGACCTTGCCGATGCTTTTCCCGAAATCTGGCAGAATGTTCTCAGCAGTAGGAACATTGGTCTGTGAACCATACTTACAGTCTTCTGGAACTTTGCACTTCTGTGGGAAATTAAAAGCTAAATTAGATCTATTCGCCGAGGAATCTGGTTTGACCGCCTTCAATATCGGCTGCGGTTTTACACACTCGTTCAACCGCCGAGTGAAACTACTATCGTCACTGGTTCGGTAAGTTGACCCACTTTTGAGTTGTCGGCTGATGATATGACCGAGGCTGCTCGACTGTCCGTTAACTTCATCGTGGAACTTGGCGTAGCGTTTTGTCTGCTGTGCATCTTCAGTGAATGAGTAGGGGTCCAGTGGCTCGGGGTCTGGTTTGCGGTTGGTTTTCAGACCGTGGTTGAGGCGCGGGTAGATGTGTTTTACTTGCTTCTTGTCGCTGACCTGGATTGGCGGTCGACATGCTGAAACCATTTTATCCTTCAGGATTGAATCGATTTTTTCCTTTTTGCAGCCTTTCCTATCTTTTCTGCTCGTAGTTTTCTTGGTAGAGTATGATAACACACCATTGAACCTGAAATGATTGAGAGTGATAAAGGGTTATAATAAATAGGAGCCTAACATAGCATACATGATAAGAAAGACACAGTAAGGAAATGAGGCTATAATTTTTAAATAAATTAAAAAATGAAAATGCACTTTAATCACTTCAAGGGTATAAGGAAAATATATTGAAATCCAACAATTCACAGCCCATAGCGAATACATGGTGATGGAATAGATGGTTTTTATTGTTGCAATCCTGTGTTTTCATTTTTGAAAATTTCGACCTGTTTTTACTTTATGTTCTTCTCAATAAAAAAATACATACAGAGGTTAACAGACGAATATTCAACCACTTCCATTGAATTCACATATTCTAATTTAGGATTCATACATCTAAGAGCTACTTCCTACCTCTACTGCTACTATGTGATGGTTTCTTTGAATTTCTACTCTTGTTGAGCAGTTATTGTTCAATATTGCTTCCTATTTTAGATCATAATTTAGTTGCTTCATCATCTCGATTATTAGACTTTTGTTCAGTTTCATTGCTTTCTTTGTTTTCCTTGATGAATCTTAATGTTTTGCAATTTATTATATTTGGTTATTATCCTCTGTAACTAAGGTAGTAACTTAAAGAGAATTTTCTTTTCCTTCTGATTCAATTACATAACTTGTGAAGTTAAAAAACTTTTCAAAGTGAGGCATTGAAAATAACAAGGTCTGCGGGCCGATAACTGAAATTGATAGACAAAGCAATAGACAAAGTAGACATGGAGAACATGGAGCGATCCGACTGGTTGAAGCGGGGGATCGTTACAGACTAAACGGGAAAATGATGGACCAACAAGAGGGTCTCTCGTGGGCTGTAGTTAGTTAGTCAATTACCTACCTCCTTTGTCCATTGCAACCACCCGCTTTCACCAATGGAACGCGTTTTTTTCAGTTTGTCTTCTTTGCCTATCACTTTGTCTATCAATTTCAATGATCAGTTCACTGACAACAGGGTCTCACTGTATTAGCAAGATTAATGGCTCAGACTTTTTTGTTCATATTGCTTTCCTTCAGTGTTCGAAACTCACCGGCGCCAAATGCGCCTAGAAAATGGAGGCTCTGCACGAACGTGGCCCCTAAAAAGTGCCCCCCCCCCCTCCCAAAAAAATCCTAATTTTTCTGTTTGGTGATTTTTCGAAAGATACAAGTTACAACTACTAGTTCTGTAACTTGAACATCTTGCGTCTGACTTTTCACAAAATGCGCCGTGGTATTCAGGCAAGTCAATTTGGCCTCTAAAAAATCTTCAATGGCCCCTAAAAATTGAGCTTGATGGGCCACACGGCTCCTGAAATTCAAAGGTGAGTTTTGAACATGGCTTTGCTTCATAATGAAACAAAAGAGTGTGCAGGCGCATGGAAGCAAACAATCAGAGCTTAAGGAGAAACCAGGTCTGGGGACAGGGCCTCACTGTACTAGCTAGATTAAAAGCCCAGACTTTTGGTGTATCTACATATTGCTTCCTTTCATAATGAAACCAAAGAGTGTGCAAGCGCACAGCAACACACCCTCAAAGTTCTACATTCAATGAATGACAGACAGTGACATTCTTTTGTTTAATGTGGATAGAGCAAGTGTAGGAAAGCAGATGTAAGAACCTGAACCAAAATTACTAAATATAACCAGCCCAAGGGGAGCAGAAAGTTCTTAGCCTTTCTATTTCAAAAACATCTTTTTCCTCCCAAAAGTTGGGAACATTTTTCTGTCTTATTCACACATTGCCGAGATTTTGCAAAAAACATGCAAATTTTGACACAATTATACAGAATACGAGCAAATTTTACTGCAATGTTGGAAGAGACATACAATTTAAACGCTTTCGCCCATTGGCAAGTCATTTTTCTTGCGATGACTGCATCCGGAAGTTTCTGCACCTCTGGATAGCCTTGATTTCTGATAATATTCCACTATTCCATGCCCAAGAGATAAAAATGTAATGTACAGTTAAAGGCAAAGTTCATTTCCTTTACGAGTTTCCTCTGATTAGTAGACTTAGACCCTGGTATAAGCAAAAGCTATGGGTTGACTCAACACATAAGAGGCAAAACATTCTCCCTTAAAACAAACTTGGGTGTCTAAAAAAATTTTTGATACCTTTTTGGATAAGATGGAATTTACTTCCAGTTTTAATTAACAAGGCTTTGAATAAACATCTTTAGGCAATCTTATGAAGGCTTATCTGCCCTCCATACGTCCTTCATTAGCTCTACTAACATCAACAAGGATTGCTATAAGAATATACCTAACTTAGTGAAAGTCAGAAAGCAATACCTGGAGCTGTTGATGGAATTGATGTTGAACATGACGCTTCAGAAATCATCCTGCATTCTTCAACCGTAAGTATTCTGGTACTTCATTTTGAGTCTACGGTCACCGCCTGTCAGTAAACCTAAACACCAAAATGAAAATTCTATTACTCAAAGGTCCATTGGAACGTAAAATTAATAATTGATATTCATCATTTTGAATTCATTTTGCTGCAAATTCAATCTAATAAAATAAGGAGGCATCAGATGTTTACAAACAAAGGATAGCGAGCATGTGATCTATCACAAGGGATACGTAATTTCATGCCCAATAAATCAAAGATCAGTTATGGAATAAGGATAAAATGTATGAAAAAATAAATGCAAGAGTAAAGGTTACTCTGATTACATCAATATTTGTAGGTATACTTTTCAACAGTTGCGATTGCGCTGGTGAGGTAGCCACTTCAACAAGCCATATTTGCAGCTAGAAACCACCTAATTTACTTACCTCGGGACAAAGCAGTCTCTTAATCGGAACTGGGTAAATCCAAAGTAATTGTTTTTAATAGCCGCAAGTACATATGCAAGATTAAAAACTACGATACTTTCTTGTAATTAATCTGATGGGACCAGATAACCTCAAAATCGAATCCAGAATCAGATTTCCAAATTGAAGTTTGCTGAAGAGTAAGGATGAAAAGTTGACAAATCTAAACACTTTTTCAGATATGCACTCAGTAAGTAACTGCACCAGCGAAAGATTAAAAGTCAATAAGAGATTAAAAATGCAATCGAAGAACTTAAAAATAAACATCAAAGTCTAACAAAGTGAACTTAAAAAGTTTATCAGGACGAGTGATAACGCACGCAAATGTAAAAAAAAATTGGCCAGACCGATGATAGACTTTTAAGTAAAGAAAGGCAAAGTGATTCTCGATTTTAAGCAGCCAAATTTGGAGCTTTTAAAATCAATGATTGAGTGTTTAGTCACAGAAAAGTCAAAAGATACGTCAAAACACAAGTGCCAGAAAAAAAATTTATGGAACCAAGTGTGTTGCGTTGAACAACGCTGAATTCTCCAACCGCTCCAGCTTACATTCATTTCCCCTTCCTTAATTCCTTTTATCCTAATAATACTTATCGTGAATATGTTATCCTCAGATTTCTCATTAATAGATAAAACTCTCAACATTACTAACACTGCGAAATGGGGGTAATTAATTTTCAATTACTAAATTCAAAGACATTGACTAAATTACAGTCTGATTAGCTTTTGGATTGCGGGTTGCCTGGTCATATTTTTTAAGCGCGTTTTTTAAACCCGAAAGATCTACATTGCCCTCATCTTCATGATGATTTTTACCTGGCCATTAAATGTTAAATATAAAATAACACTGATATATTATTATTTCAGGAGTTAATTTTTGAAAATACCAGTTGTGTGAATAACTTTCCGCTAAAAACTAAAATGGAGAGTACTGATTTTTCTTAATTTTGGGGGGGAAAAACAAAAAAACTTATACTTAGGTGCAGGGGAATTAGATGGTGGAAAATGCAACTAGGATTACTTCAGTTAATACTATTTAATTATGATGATGAGTATTTTGTAATTCTCAAAGATGAATAAACACATTTCAAAGCATTCAATACGATTCAGCGACCAACACACAGTAGTCGATTGATCATTGACTCTACTCTTTTTTTTTGCTTTGAAAGCGGGGACAGAACCGAGTTCCGGCGACTGCTGCTTGCATGTGCTAGGAACAGGTGGCCGGTCTCACCCCGCGACAGCCGCAATCAACTGACAGGGGGATAACTCTACTCTTGCTGACACCAGTAAATAATGCCAGGTCCGTTGAGCCCTCAGTTCAGAGGAGTGCAATGAATTGGGCTTTGGTGTCCTACAACCAGCAAAAAAATTGTACGCACTAGAAGATACAGGCAAAGAGAGCCATAGAGTGCTGCAAGCTGCAAGGCAATATTGAAGCTTTTCTTTAAAAAAATATTGGGATACAGTCATAATTAACTCACTACACCCTATTGTTTTTGATCAAAGGAAAAATGACTTAGAATTTTAATGAATGAGTATCCTTGTGCCAACAACTTTACCTAAAACATTCTTCAGCAAAAGTCCGTAATCACATATCTCGTTTGCGGTGTCTGAAAATCTCCACCTATATGTTATTTTTTAAAAGAGAACAAATTGACATCATTCCTTGAAGTTTTTGCAGAATTTTCTTTGCACAGAGAATTGCCGTTGAGTAGTTTTCCGTTTAAAAAATAAAGTATGACAGGAAGTCTGCGAGTTATGTGATTGCCAACTTACACCGTCGATATGTGATTGTCCACATAGAGGGGGAACTTGTACCGCAAAGGCACGTTTCCTCAAAGAGCAATTTTTCACTAGTTGAGTTGAAACGGCGGCATTTAAGTTTTCATCAGGAAACACTCTACTGCCGTGCTAAGGAAAAACGCTGTATGAACATTTGAGAGTCACCAAATTTCCCCAGATAAAACATGTAAGTATTTTTGAGGAAAGTTACGCATATTTTCTTTGAAATATTCAGATGTTTTAGATCAAATTGTGATCAAAATTGTCTGAACATTTTGAAAAAAAATATTGGCAATTTTTCTGGTAAAATCATTTTATATTGAAGGAAGTAGAATGACACCTGAAGGCTCATATGGCGTTCTGCCTTAGCACAGCAGTCTACTTTCTCAAGGCAAAAGTTGCTAGCAGTCTACATGCGTAATTTCTGTGTCAATACAGAATGAAAAGTTGCTGTTAGATTTTGAGCCTCAAAATGGCGGATTGAGATTTTGAATGAGTATTCTTTAAAAGGTTTTCCCAATGGCAAACTTTGAACCATCATTACTCTGGTTTGGTTAGACTCTTTTGCGTTTCATGTGCTAAAATGTTCAAAATATTCCTTCAAGTAGAAATTAGGAGGTCAAAAATTTTGAAAATTAGGCACTCCTATAACGCAATTTTCAGTTCAATTTCTAAGTAAAATAATCACCATTTTTTGTAAAAACGAAAATCCTCGAAAACTTGAAGGGGTACCCCAAACATGCACCATAATCGAATACCAAAGGCTCTCTTTGAAATTTTTTATTCTAAAATCCTTTAAGACTGGATTCAGGTGCTGCATCATTCGAAGTGAGGAGATAAAAGAAAATACTGACACTCAAAATTAACGACTAAGACTTATTTATTATTGAAATTCCACTTAAAATTATTAACAAAGTTGCTGACTTTACACATATGATAACCTTAAATATTAGTATTAAGATTGAGAACTACTTAGAGAACTTCCTTACTCCTGTTCATCTTCGTAACCAATTCCAGGGATAGGATTAACTTTGGGGTTGTAGAATAGTGGCGTCTTTCCATCTCTCCATGGGAAGGGCTGTGGAAAAATACAATTTTTTGAGATACATATGATAAAAAATTGAAACATTGAAAACACAGAACTAACCACAGCCTCTCATCTGTGGTCTTTATTCAATAATGCACAAATTAACCCTTGATGGGTATTTTTAAGGGGTTACTAAGTAGTCATTTTTCTGAACTTTTTAAGGTTTGTTGTCACTTAGAAACTTTCATAAGGGCTATCATTATTAATATACAAGTAATATACAAATTAGGAGTACCTGTGAGAAAAAAGGCAGGGGTGTACCTAAATTGTCCTTAACCATACCACCGAGACCAAATTGTGGATGTGCCCTGAACGATTGTAGAGGCTGAGTTTTTTTCCTTCAAAGGTTATCAGATTTTTAATTCTGATGGAATAGTGCGACTTTGGCACACATCCAAATACTTATTTAACAAACGTAAATTTTGCAAAACTTAGAATTTAGCTCATTATGTTGGCCTTTTTGCGAAAACCCGGCACTTTGCAGAAAATTAAGAAGGCCTATAACAGGTTATACTCCCGAAAAAGGGTATTTTTATGACGAATTTTGAAATAAATTTTTTAAATTATTTATTTGAAAATAGTGGTTTTTGCCCCTTTCTATTATTCAAGAATGGAGCAAGAGAAAGTCTGTTATTTTTCTATTATTTCTACAAGGTTCATGATTACTATTTGTGACTCGGGATTTTTGTAGAATCGTAAGATGTTCAGGTTTGTTATGAATTAATTTAAAGCTTCTAGGCCTCTGTTTCTAAGTTCTTTGCTATTCTGCCTCCCGAGCAAAAATTATGGAGCTTTACTACCAGTGTTCGAAACTCACAGGCACCAACGCGCCAAATGCACCTAAAAAATAAACTCAGCGCCAACGTCGCCCCAAAAAATTGCCTCCTCCCTCCCCCCAGAAGAAAATCCTAATTTTTCTGCTCGGTGATTTTTCGAAATTTCTCCCAAGTTACAGCCACTTGTTCTGTAACTAAAACATCTTGCGTCTGACTATTCACTGAATGCACCGTGATATTTAGGCAAAAAGTCAATTTGGCCCCTACAAAATCTTCAATGGCCCCTAAAAATCGAGCTTGATGAGCCATATGGCTCCTGAAACTCAAAGATGAGTTTTAAAAATTTTTAATACATATTTTAAGTCCTTTTAGAAGAGCATTGTGATGGCCGAAAAGTGAAACAACATATCTCCATTGCGGTGTTCCAAAATTTCTGCTTTCATTTTATTTTTTCACGGACTTAATAATTTGATACTGGAATAAAATATTCTGCTAACAGAGAAAAAAATCAAGGAAATTTTCCAAAAATTACACTGACCCGTATAAAAATAAAGTATGATGAGTATGCAATGCCCAAACGGAGATACATGGTTTTCTACTTTGGCCATCGATAAGGGTAAATCATTATTTAACTTTCAGATAGATTTTCAAGCAGTCCCTATTTTCCATGTGTAAAAACAAATGAGTTTTGGATGATTTAAGGACGAGTTTCAAATTGATCTCGTTTCTAAAGTCAAATGCTACTCTTTCATTCAAAGATCTGCTGGTTCCAAAATTGGATTTTTTCTGTAGCTGATAAGTTTTTTGTAGGAGAAGAGGCAGAAAAAGATAAATTGGCCCCACACAAGGAAACTAAGACCCTCTCGAAGGAGTAATTTTGTGTTTTCCAGAAGAGAACCAAAGTAATTTACCATGATATTTTGCATGATGAATATAAAAAAACGGTTTTTCTAGAAGAACATTAGAAAACAAATATGATTATTTTGCACAAATTAAATTAAAATTAGAACGAAGAATGAGAGAGCTACATTGGAAGATGAGGTAAAAAAAGAGGCACTGTTCCTTATACACTAGACGAGCTCATAAATAAAAATGGAATAGCCTGCACTTTTCAAAATGACAAAGAAGAAAAAGTCAGGAATAAAATAAATGACAAAAGACAGAGCTTGAACGAGTATAGTGCATTGATGATATTACTCCTCATCAAAGCGTATCTTTGATAAAATAAAAAAAACCGGGCGTTGTGCATAAAACTTATCAAATCTTTTTATTGACAGCTAGCGTTTTTCGGCATAATAGTTGTTGTTGATTTGACTTCACTTGATACATAGTCCTATTCACCTGTGCATCGCCCAGAAACCCAAGATGGCAAAAGAAGATATCTCTCTTATTAGGATCATGATCTTGAACTCTGTCTTTTATAGTCTTAAAGACTTGTGGTCTGTGCAGCCATGCGACAGCCATTGATGACAGCTGCATAGACCATGGATCTCCGCAAAAGCAATGCACAATCAGGATCCAGGCCTTGACAAGAGGAACATTTTCAGGCGTCATCTTAGCTTTCTTGGCAATGCATGATTAAATGGGAGCTCAAATTGCTTTGAGCTCTTCTTTAAGGTGATTCGTCAACTTCAAATGACATGGTCCAACTGGCATGCGATATATTGCATCTTATAGGTCAAAAAGCTCGGTGGGTATTGAATTTTTTAAATAAAAGGACAATAGCCCATGCGCATAAGCCTAAAGAATCATTCTAAATCCAAAAATCGGCAAAATTCAGAGAAATGAAAGCGGAATAGTGTTTGGAAAAAAACCTCGCATTTGATGCAGAAATCGATTGTTGAATCGAATGCGAGGTTTTTTCCCAAACGAGGTGTTGCTTTCATTTTTTTGAATTTAGCCAATTTTTGGGTTTAGAATGATTCTTTAGGTTCATGCGCAAGGGCTATTGTCCTTTTTCGCTAAAAATTCAAAATCTGTCGAGATTTTTATCCTAATCAATGCGATATATGGCATGCCAGTTCGACCACTCCTTTTGAGCTTAACTAATCACCTTAAAGGGTTCATGTGGTCTAATATAATCTAGAAAAATTCCTCTGAAAAAAATTACTTTCTACTTAAAAAAATGCAATTATTAAAAATTCTTGTCGGTGGTTTTCAATGATAACTCACCTTTCTAACAATCCACAAGTATGTGATTCCAGGGTGATACTCCATGCGTTCAGGTTCATGCGTCAGATGGTGATGACCAATTTTGACGCTGAAAAGTATCAAGATGGGCACGGATGCGAGGGAAATGTATTTCCACTTTCTGGCGCCAGCTACGAACAGACGAAAAGAGACAATTAAGACATCTTTTTAAATAAAAGGTAATTTCATGAAATACAATAGTCCTCAAACTTCATTTATAGAATCACTGATTTCTTTCTATGTATTATTTATGGCTATTATTCTACAGAATACCTACGAATTAAGGACCGATTATATGATTTGAAGCAAGGACCCTATATTTGAAGCAAGGCCATTCAAATAATGCAAAGGTTGTAAAATATACAGATTTAAGTATGATGATTTTTTCACAGACATAGCTACAGATTCATTTTGTAAGTTTTTTGTCGACAAAAATTGTACATACTTACTACTGCACTCATAACATTCAAACATCACAACAGCCAAAACATGTTCACCAGTTCCCAGTTTGACTTAAGAGTCAGAACTGGTCAGTTTTTGCAACAGGCAAATGAGAAAATGGCAAACACCAAATAGTCTCTCATTCCTTTGAAAAATAACATCCTGTTAGAGGTGTCGTCAGCTAAGTTGATGGTTGTTTACTTTCGGTTTGCAGGCGTTTTCGCGGCAATACTATCCACATGAAAACATCCGACTCTCTCAGAAGCAAGAACACAAGCTTAGATAAGTTTTTAAATACTCTCAAACCTTTTAATACTTTCATTTTTAGCCAAACAGAAATCACAACCACAAAAAAGTCGCAAATCATAACTGATAAGTATAGTTTGTTTACAATACGACCATGAGACTGATGTTTTCAGTGTGGATAGTAGCGAACGCCGCTTTGTTCAGAGGCCCAAAGTCGTCTTTGGCGTTAGCAAACCGAAAGTAAACAACCGTCAACTTAGCTGACGACACCTCTAACTGGACCGAGTTTAACAGAAAGGAACCAAGCCACATCAGCTATTGCCAAGTTGAACTGGGCAATTAAATTTTTTACGAGAGAACATTTGTTCCGGTTTCCTTGAAAATTTTAAGGAATTTGCTTTGTACCATGGAGAATTAATACTGAAATTTGCTTGAAAATCCGCACAACCGTTTTCATGTGAAAAATTAAATTGCCCAATTAAATCTGGCAATACCTGATGTGGCTTGGTTCCTTTCTGTTTAACGCGGTCCAACTAATCTTTCCTCACTAAACTTAACCTCGACTCGTCTCCCTACCCTTCTAACAATTAATTCTTTAATATCCCTATCTACCGGATTAATCATCCCTTTCCTCATCTTACATAATATTACAAAGATACTCACTTTGGTTATCAATTCTATGCATGACCACCCTAAGCTTTTCAAAATATTACTATCCCTATCACATCCTAATATTTATCTCATGGCTGAATTTTGCCCTTTATGTGGCGCCCTGATCTCTTTTCCATTTGCTTCTCCAAGTAACAACATACAATAATTTAACTTCGAACCAACCAATAAGTTATAAATTAGCTTTCTACTACCCTTCTCTTTAAAATCCTTTATTCTCTATGACAAACTTAGTTCACTCCTATACTCCCTCGTTATTCTATCAATATGTTTCAACTTTAGGGTCAACCAGATCCCTAAATACCTCATTTCTCTAACCCATTCTATCACCTTCCCATCAAAAACCACCTCACCTTGCCACTTACTCCTGAATGCTTCAAAAACCATTTATTTAATTTTAGATACATTCATGACTGACCAGACAAAAGCCAGGGTTTTTATCTTCATATATAAGATGAGGAGAGGACTGATTGATATAAGAGACAGGGAGTTATTGGAAATATTAGATAGAAGAAAGGGAAGGAATTTAGAGTTGAAATACAATGACGCTAGGGACGTAGATAGTATGCTATTCTTTAAGGGAATGAGAGATTATACTTTGTTCGGTTGTGAGAAATGGGAGGAACTGCAATTGGGAGCTTTTAGAAATAGGGTATGGAATGAATTAATGAAATTCTAAAGAGATAACTGGGGGGAGGGTGAGCTTCTACCGGGATGTTACAGGTGGAAGGAGTTTGGTCTATAGGGACTGGTAAGGGAATGGTTAAATATGAAAAATAGGTTAGGGATTGGCTCAAACTGGTTCCCGAGCAGATGGGATTAGCCCTTGAGGGCTAGTTAAAAAAAAAAAAGAAAGAAAGAAAAAAAAAGTTTTCCTTTAACCAGACTCCTAGTCTACCTAGATCCCTGTCGATTTTTTCCGTTCCTGCCATCTCTTTCCCTTCACTATTGAAGACTAGTGTGTTGTCCGCAAATAAACTAACTTCACGTAATAAAATAATATAAAAAATTAGGCATCAGGTTCGGGTAATTCTTGTTTCCAAATGCTCTGAATGAGTTTTCAATGACGAGGCACCTTCAGATAGTTACAGCGTGGATATCTTTGCCGGCTTTCTCAATGGGGGTGTTTAGCGATAAAATATGCAGTTCATATGATTGGTGGCATCAGGTCAACAACTGGAAATGAAGGAGAGGCAATATGCTTGCCATGAGCTGGCTAAATATCAACACCCGCTGCGAAGCCTTGGGCGTTATCCGTCCCACTGACCGTTTGTCACCGGACTTACCTACATGGAAAATACTTCGCTGGATTTATGCTACTCGCGGTAGTTGTTATACATGAAAATATGAATGGGAATAGAAAATTAAATATCTTAGGAAGTCTGTGGACTTAGTTGGAGTGACCTTGAAGGGGCGAAAGGATTTACCTGGTGCATGGTGCTTCGCGTGGTGCACGGCTTTTTCCCATTGAGGAATTTGTCGGGTGGCTTGGTTCATCGCTTCGATGGCAGGAGGTAAGCCGCTGCTGGAGCTGGCATATCGAGCGGTAGCTGTAGAAATTCCACGGATAAGTTTCAAAGTTGATAACGCCATGATGGACTGACAACTGACCAACAATCCAGCGACTAACCTCAAATTGCGAAAATTTTCAAGCTAAACGCGAGTCAGCTGTTTGTGCTGAGTTGCCAAATCAAGTCTGAAACAGGCAGAATCAGATAGTCAGAAGTAAACAAACGAACAAGCAAAACCAGGTAAATTATGTTCCTCGTTCCTCCTAAGTTTTCATAATTGAGTACGTTTGTATTATTCGTGAGAAAAGTTGTCGATACATTTTTTAAATATGTGCCCCTACTGGGGTGTTCATACATGAGACAGGAATTACTCAGGATGTTCAAGAGTCGGCAGTTTTGTAGGGTAATCTGTTTGTTGTTTCAACCCATGCGTTACTAATTATGTGCTGTCAAGCTTTGTTATCAACGTAGTAATTAGAATTAGCGTTCCTCGGGATGGGAAACTCTCAGCACACTCATTCGAAAGGTTCCGAATCCAGTCAAACTCCGCCTGTCTCAAGAGCAAGGAAACAAATTGGTCACATTTTGACGAGCATAAATCAGGTACATAAATTATCTCAACTCTTTACCATGACATCCGTCATTAATCATAAAATATGCTGACACTGTCATGCTGAGAACACGTATTGACATCCGCATATATGAGTCCGTGAACAGTCAATGTGTTTAACGAGGGTTAGCTTTCGCATGGGCATGACAACCTGTTGACATCACTGGTCAAATGCAACCCTTAAATAGCAAGCGCTAATTATTTCACTGAGTTTTTGCAGGTTTTGAGGCACAGTGTAACAAATGCGCAGATTAACCAGTAGTGAATTTAGTCACTTTATGTTTCTGCTTTAAGTTTGAAGAAGAAAGTAAGATAAGTGGTAGAGCTTGCTGACCGTACGTATGTTGAGTCATGGTCATAGAATAATTATAACTTTGCTTTAAGAAGCTCTACAGCAATCTTTTCATTAGAACAGCGTTTTTTTTTTTTTTTTTTTTTGGGGGGGGGGGTGTTTTGGTCTAAGTTACAAACAATCAACCACTTTCAAAATTTGTTTTTGTTGACCTTGAATGATCATGGTTAACCGTGACATTATTGTTTGTCATGAATTTCGGTTAACCATTCTCGAAATTCAGCTTACCTTTTTGGTGATTGTAACTCGGCTCAGTTTTGTTAAACCGGTAAAAATATCTGACAAGTGAAGTTGCTTGTTCAGTCAGTACATTTTACAGAACATATCTATGAAAGTGTCAATCACAATTAGAAAGGTTTTATTTTTTGCGCATTGTGCCAATTCTTGGCGTATGATCTGTAAAATTTATAGAGAGTCAATGATGTCTTCTTTGCCCAAATTCAATGAGTATGGTCCCAGTCTATTAGGAATCATGATAGCTTTTAAATAAAAAGAAAGGATCAGCGCCATAGCTGTAAGGAGGGATAAAGTTTGCAGGTATTAAAATTTTTGCCTTGTCAAGACTCAAACACACAGCAATTAAGATGACCGATCAAGTTAAATCTTCACCATTTCAAATCAATTTTGCTTCGTTTTAATTTGTCATTTTTTATCGTCTGATTCCTAACAATTTACTTGATTTTTTTCAGCTATCTGCTGCTAGTTTTACATTTAGCTTCAACGGAGCATCATTCCTCAGTCAAAACTCACGGCAGTCATCATACAGTGTAACTAGACCCTGGTCTCGTGTTTCAAGGAGAAGGCAAGTGCTTTAAGTTTACTGTCGTGCCAAGGAAAAATTCTATATGAACATTGGAGAGTCACCAAATTTCCTCCAATGAAATATCTATTTTTGAGGAGAGTTATGAATATTTTCTTTTGAAATTTTCTAATAATTTAGATTAACTTACGAAGAAAATTCTTTGAAAAATTGAATGGAAAATTTTCACAAGTTTTCCTGAATATTTGTTTTTCATCAAAGAAATTTAGGCATCTGTCAAAGGTCTATGCGGCGCTCTTTCTCAGCATGGCAGTATAATTCTATCCAGTATTTATTTCTTTAAAATCTCCTCAGATTCCAACAATCGCAGGGTTGTCACTGGTCTAGGAAACGTGGAAATTCAAGGACTGTCAGGGAACTTACAGGAACCTAGATAAGTTAGGGGATTCTTAGAGAAAGGTAGGAAATTCTGCAAGCGGCATTCATAGAAATTAGCATCATCATAGTAAACTCATGTTGCTTCGTATCTCAATTTATTCACCGTCGATCAGGCCCGCCACAAGGGGGGGGATACTGGGTCCTTGGTACCGGGGCCCGGGCCCTGGAGGGGCCCGTGACGCAGGTGACAAACCACTACGAATTCATGTGTAACCCTTGTCTCGTAGGGAAAAGTGAAAAAATTACCCTAAAAATTCCGCAAAAGGTGAATAAAGTTTCAAAAACAC